TATATTGCTATTAATTCTATGGACATTATTGATATATCAGCTTCTATTTTAAAACCAGCTTTATGTTGTGGATATGAACAGAAAAAGGCAGCACCTCTCTTTGCTTTTGATTTCGATCCGTCTGTATAAATTTTATGCCATTCTCTTATGGCGGTTGTGTCGCAAAAGAAAACACAGTGCGTTCTTAGTTCCAACGTTTTCGTTCTGTAAATTTCGACCTGCAGAACAAGCCGCGTGGACGACCGAAGACCCAAGTTAATAATGAAGAATTGAAGGCTATTGTGGGAGCGCATCCATTGCAAACTACGTCCGAATTAGCTGCAGGCTGCGGTGTTAGTGATAAAACTGTTATAATCCACTTGAAGCAAATTGGATAGATTAAAAAGCTTGATAGGTGGGTACCTCACGAATTGAGTGCAAACCAGCAAATGCGCTTCGACTGTTGCGTTACATTACTTAACAGGCACATTAATGAAGGTTCTTTAAATCGAATCATTACCTGTGATGAAAAGTGGATTCTCTACGATAATCGGAAGCACTCATCGCAATGGTTGGACCTTGGCATGCCAGCCAAATCCTGTCAAGCGAAAATTTATCCCAAAAAAGTTACTTGTAAACGTTTGCTGGACTAGTGTCGGTGACGATTACGGCAGACGTCTATTGTCAGCAATTGCAAACCATGCTGGAAAAACTAGTTGTTAAACCGAACCGAAGCTGCTCAATCGCTCTAAGCCACTTCTACTTCACGACAACGCTAGAACACACTGCACAACATACGCAAAACATTCCGCTCTCAGCTTTCGTTGCGCGCCCCCGTGCGCGTACACGACTCTCTTCTACCCAAACTGTGAGTACATCTCGTGCCTTCTGCACACTCCGAACTTTGCCTGCTGCTTTTGTTTTTTTCAAAACATTTAAACAGTAGAACCTGACTTACTTTCAACTTCTTGAGTCGGTGGATACCATACGGTGGCAACTAAGCTGGCTGAGCGATCCCAGTGCGCTCGCTAAGGCCCCTCAGGCTTTAACAACACCGAAGACCCAATCCCAGTGCACTAATTTTGCCGCTAATTCCATTAGGGATAGCAGCATTTTTCAGCGTCCCCCTTCCCCTCTCGCTCCGGCGCGGGGTTGGTATTTTAGCACACTGGCCCTATCTCCCTCTAACCTACCAAGGTAGGTGTGACGGAGAAAAGTACGAGTGAAATACAATTACTCCTCTCTTTCTCTTGCATATTTAGGAACCTTAAGGGTGAATATGTGGGTCCCTATGGTGGTGATGGAGACAACTGGCCAGGGAGACTAAAGGATAATTGTCTCCCTCCGAGCTAGGTGTTGTTAGCCCGGGGACCGCGGTCCGACCGATGTAGGTTGGACGTTCTATTTATGCTAATTAGTAATTAAGCTTATTCTGTGTGATGTAGGTTTCTTTGTTCTAAATGCCTTGTAGTTATTAATTTATGCTGCTTGTATTGGTACAGCACCATCTCGTTACTTGCTGTTGAAACTTATTGCAGTTCGTCTTGCTATCGATGGCTGTGACAATGCTAGTCTTCTCGCTATCGATTGTTGTGGCGATGTTAGTGCGATGAGTTAGATGTCGCTATGTATCAGTACTTTCCCCCTAGACCGAAGGTCGATCCATGTTCATAGTAGGTGGTATGCAGTCAGTGCTTCAGAGCTTTGCAAGTGCCATGGTTGTGACGTCGGGACCGAAGCTGCTGGTGTGCAGGGCTGCCACGCCGGTGAGTTGTGTGTGAACTGAGGTCCGGTCGTGGGCTGCGAGGACCAGGTCGGAGTGATGCCGTCGTGTGGTACCAAGTATCCAGGAAGCGTCGTCGATGCTGCTGTGATGGACCTTGGTGTTGGCTGGCTTGCTGCTGAAGTGACTGTGCTGGTGAGGGATGAGAAGCTGATGATGAAGGGTGAGAGGCTGTTGATGAAGAGTGATGGCTGCATTGTGATGCTGAAGGTTGCTGATGTTCTGCTGGGGTCACCACTTTAGGAACCTTAAGGGTGAATATGTGGGTCCCTATGGTGGTGATGGAGATAACTGGCCAGGGAGACTAAAGGATAATTGTCTCCCTCCGAGCTAGGTGTTGTTAGCCCGGGGACCGCGGTCCGACCGATGTAGGTTGGACGTTCTATTTATGCTAATTAGTAATTAAACTTATTCTGTGTGATGTAGGTTTCTTTGTTCTAAATGCCTTGTAGTTATTAATTTATGCTGCTTGTATTGGTACAGCGCCATCTCGTTACTTGCTGTTGAAACTTATTGCAGTTCGTCTTGCTATCGATGGCTGTGACAATGCTAGTCTTCTCGCTATCGATTGTTGTGGCGATGTTAGTGCGATGAGTTAGATGTCGCTATGTATCAGTCGCCACACATATAACGGTTTGCATTGCCGATCCTTCGCGCGGCGATGTCGGCATCCCAGGCATCGCCACCCCGCTCAACTTTCGTCATGGAGTGCGAAAGCACATCCATAAAGAGGACCGCTTCACAGCGATTGATCTCTGCACATCCAACAAGATAAACTACACCCATGCCAAAAACATGTGTATAGCTATCCGGATGGAAACACCCACTAGTGAGGACTATAGAGCCCTTACTAGACTTCTAACCCACCATAAGGTGGGTTACCATACCTACGCTCTGCGGTTCTGTGAAATGTTCCGTGCGAACTCGCCACCGATCTGATCCATAAAGATCTAAATGAACAAGGCTTCGCTGTGGAGTCTGTTTATAAAATGCATAGTAGAGCCGGCAGGCCTTTCCCTCTGGCTCTACTCATCATTCCAAATGTCCTTAACGCTCGCGACATTTTCAAGGCTAAAGACCTTAGGGTCTGCGGCCTTACCGGGGTTTAAGTAGAACCCCCTCATCGACGCGGTACCCCGGGACAGTGCCACCGATGCCAGCTTTATGGGCATGCGGCGGCCAACTGTTCCGCGACTCCGAGGTGCGTAAAGTGCCTCGAGTCACATCCAACAAAGGAGTGCTCTCGTACTCGAGACACTTATCCCTCCGGCCTATGTACTGTGTGGCCAAATCGGCCACACAGCCAACTATAAAGGTTGCCCCCGAGCGCCGAAGCCCAAACCCTCTTCTAAGAAGAAGGGTAAAGGCCCGGCGGTCAACAAAGCACCTAAAGCCCCCCCTAAAGCCCACCGCGGCGAACTTCCCCGCCTTACCAAAGGCGAGTCACTCCGCTCCCAAATCGGTTTCACAACCGATATGCCTCCCCCCCCCCCAACCTTCTCAGACGAAGCCCTCACCAAAGGCTTCTGTCTCACCTCCCAAAACCGCCCCTGTTTCTTGATCTATAGCCGATGACATAAATCTAGTTCTTAACTTGATTCGTGAACTCGACATAAATGAAATCTCCACCCTAGCGGCTAAGCTCCGCCGCGAGGGTGCGAAGAGGCACTTAATAACGAAGCGTTATTAAGTGCCTTATCATAAGCACTAATAACGTGTTAGGTTCTCTCTAAACCTCCCACAATCCATCCTTTGGCCGACCTGGACGTCCTTACGAGACCCAGTAGGCCAATTCCACCCCCATCATACTGACCCTTCAGGTCAACCCTCTCTGCCCTCTCGACCTGACATCCCCTCAGGATGCAGGCCACACAAATTGTTACGGGCATCAAATAGCACCCTTCTGATGGTATGCGATGCTCCCCTCCCCGCCCTCCACACCCCGACCCTTCAGGTCATACCCCTGCCCGATCTGGCTAATCGATCCCCTTCAGGGAATCAGCTGTATTACTCCCCTCGATCGATCCCCTTCAGGGAATCAGCAGTTAAGAGCGGAAAAAAAATAACAATAGACGGTTACCAAATTAGAAGAGCTTCAATTGGAATTTCTAAGACATCCACCGTACTAACCGGAACTTCCTCCAATAGATTACAATTTTTTTCGATGGCGACTCTAGTAAAAGTTGATTTTGGCAGGAAACAAATGGACCAAAGATAGTCATTTCAGTTCATTTTAGCTAACATATAAAAAAAATGAAATTTGCAATCTTCGAAACTAATATATAATACAAAAACGAAAAATTACAAATAGAATATGAGTTGTTTATTGACTTTTGAAAACTAATTTACTTTTATACATGAAAAAAACCTAAAGGGTTGTCATGAAGAAATTAAGAAAGTACCGTAGCGACATCTAGTTTGATTTCTTGAACTAATTTTTTTTTAATACTTTTTTTTCCGTAATATGGACTTGTTCCGTTATACACGGAAATTTTGCCAACATCCCGTAGTGAGAGACACGTGATTCAAGAGACTGAACGGTAGTTACCTCTTAGTCATTTCAGTTCATTTTAGCTAACATATAAAAAAAATGAAATTTGCAATCTTCGAAACTAATATATAATATAAAAACGAAAAATTACAAATAGAATATGAGTTGTTTATTGACTTTTGAAAACTAATTTACTTTTATACATGAAAAAAAACCTAAAGGGTTGTCATGAAGAAATTAAGAAAGTACCGTAGCGACATCTAGTTTGATTTCTTGAACTAATTTTTTTTTAATACTTTTTTTTCCGTAATATGGACTTGTTCCGTTATACACGGAAATTTTGCCAACATCCCGTAGTGAGAGACACGTGATTCAAGAGACTGAACGGTAGTTACCTCTTTGAAATTACGAGTAACCATTAGGTTGGACGTCACTAGTGTTGACACATAAACCTAACATCGTTCCTTTACACGTAACATATAAATAACTTGTATTGACGACTCAAATAAATTCAAATTAATTTGAAAACTATACATTATACGAAACAAAACTATGTCATATTTATTTGTATACTCAATTTACTTTTATTACGTCTGAAAGAAAATTTAAATGTATATCATAGACAATTATCTGATAATCGCTAGTAACATCTAGTTTGCTCTCAAGATTCAAGTAGCCAAACTTTGGATCACCCTTTATTTGAATGTAGTCATTATGCTCTTGCTAGGATTGTTTTTATAGATCGCCTTCTGGAGATTTATCATAAACCATCAGCATTTATTGAATAATCAATGTTATTTTAGACCTATTTACGATTGTTGGTTATTAGACATGGCTACACCCAATTTTTCTCTATGCTATCGAAGAATTTTACAACAGACAATGGCTGTACGGGCTAAGCTCCCTTCGCCTTTCCTTTACGAAAAAAAATATTTATGCCTAACCTCACACTTTGTTGTTTCCAAAGACAGAAAAAAATGTTTTGTTGTAGTAGTGAATGATTGAAAAATGATAAATCTTAATTTTAAAAGATTATTAAATTGTTGATAGATTTACGTTATCGAGTAATAAATGTCAATCATTGAGTTAAGTGGATATAACCAAAAACTTCTAATATGAAGGCCGCAAAGAAATCTGATGCTAAAAAACCCCACATTAACGGTGTTATAAAATTTTTAAAAACAAGCAGTATAGAATGGCCAGAATACATCACCGAGTTAAATTTGAGTAATAGCAAAATTCGTTGGCAAGAGGAAAACATAAAATTTCCACCAAATGTGATGGATTTAAACATTTCCCACAATGAACTAACTGAAGTTCCAAGTGCTGTGTTGAATCTTGAAAAATTGAAAAATTTAGATATCTCTTATAATATCATTACTTATTTTGATGAGTATCCTAAATTTTGTCATGCAATAGAAGTGTTGAATCTATCCCATAATAATTTACATGGTCCACCTTATTGGGTATGGACTGGGGCACCGATAAAATTAACAAATATTAACCTTGGTTTCAATTATAACTTAAGAAAATCATTTGAATGCAGCTACTTTGAGGAACTTCTTCAATATACTACACAATTAATTAATATTAAGATTAATAACTGCAGTCTCACCCAACACTTGAAACTGTTAATTACATTACCTAAAGCAAAAGTTCTAGAACTAGGTTCTTCTACTTTGAGTTTATTTTCAATGAATAGAATACATGAAGTGCCATGTGAGGAACTCAAAAAGTGCTGTGATATGGAAAGACTGAACCTAAGCAATGTTCAATTGTACACTATAAAGAATAATATAGATATATTATCAAAACTAGTCGAAATAAACCTTTCACATAATGAAATAAGTAATATACCAGATGAGTTCTGCAATTTAGAGCACTTAGAAATATGCAACTTGTCTTACAATCACATTTTGTACTTACCAGACAATATCAGTAAATTAGGAAGACTTGTTTCTTTACAAATTAATAGCAATGAGTTGTGCATGTTACCAGAGAGTATTTCAGAGTTGAAAAAGCTTCAAATTCTTGATCTGTATGATAATAGTCTTTATGAGATTCCTGATGGGCTGAAAAATATTGCTGAAATAGACCTAGCACAAAATTATTTTGATGAGCCAGAGGAACTAAATTATTTGGAAAAAAGAGATAGACTCAGACTAAGTGTTCCAGACAGATTCAATGGAAAGTGAGTATTATTTCTGTTAAAAAGATTAAATACGGTTCTTAATATCAATCATAAAAAAATTGCATAATAACTCCATGCTGTTACATTTTATACAGATTTTTTTCTGTACACTCTATCTGACCTTTATATTGATGTTAAGATTTAACATATTATACAAAATTTTTGGTCTCTTCCTTATTAACTGTTTCAAGCAGTTTTATTCCATTGTTCCACACTTCATATACCTCAATATCCTGACTTTTCATTTTTAATATACATACCTAATTTCAGGAAAATAGAACATGAAAGGCCAGAAAGTGAGAGATCTTTTGAAGAGACAGATGATGAAGAGCTACTATTAAGTTCTTGCAGTAATCAAGGTATGATTAGACAATATCTTATACATACTGACTATTGCACTAACATCCATTCAAATTCTCATTATTTTAAAGTAGTTTAAATGGTACAAATATTTAAATTAAGAATATCAATTAGCATTAAATGAATGTTTGTGCAACTAAGCAATAGAGTTCAAATTCAATTATTTGTTGAAATTACTCTTTAAAAATATTTGTTCCTGATGATATATTTAGTATGGTGGTCAACATTGTCTTCAGTCTGTGATAGCAGAAATTAAAAAACTTTCACAAAAGGTCCCATCGCCAAGGGTTTTCATACCAAAGTATCACATTTTAATAACTATAAACTTACAGTTTTTCTGTAATAGTCTTGTAAGTAAAAAATAACAATTATAAATAAATTAAAATAAGTTAAACAACTGACATGATCATTTCAATTTTACAGAACCTCATCATACATATGATGACCCACCTAGTTCACCAGAAGATTGGGATTCGGATGACTACTGGGTGCCCAGGTTCCACAAACAACCTACTCCTCCTCCGCACTCACCATGGCTTTACTTCGTCAAAAGAAAAATGGAGGAAGGCAACTTCTGTCCCATGGATATCCACACAGTTTCTATAGCAGACAAGGTTAAATATGAGAAACTCTGCAAACCTCCAGTGTTGTATGAATCTGATGGACAGTTTGACGATTATTCAGATGATAACAGCTGATAATAGTATATATGATTAATAATTATTAAATAAGATAATATAATGATCAAATAATTAGGATTAATTTCAAATAATTAAAATGAACAATTTACTTGATATATTCTCAAGAAATCAAAACTACCAAACCTGAGAATCTATTACATTTGATGTTTATCAGCATTTCTTAAAGCAATTATTTAATTATAAGTATAATAAACTAAACTTGACTATATTGTATAAACCTTAATATACAATAGATAATATTTGATGATACAACAATCCACGCAGTTCATTCAACCTCCAAAATTTATTTAATGATAAATAATGTTGCTTAATGTAGTAAGTAATGATGTTACACTGATATTTCATATAAGCACTATAACTCGTGTCGCGTACGACAAAACGCCATCGTCAATTATTTAATAATAAAATAAATAAAAAATTACTTTATTATTCAGTGCGACGCGGACCGTCCGCCACGGACTACACATGTGGCAGGCATGTCTACAGGAGCGATGGGTGTTATTCAATTAGTGATTTGCGTGAACTGAGATCATTAATTATTCAGTGATACAATAACTATCTACTTTCCACAACACTTTAAAGTAAAGCTGAATTCACTCTTAAGTAAATCACTTAAGGGCGACGCGCTTACAATATCCGCGATTACCAAGAAGCGGCGATCATAGTAAGCAGTGATACGTAGACATCTTTAAGAGATAAACGCTTTACATTGACGGTCACGTAATGCAATTTTAATAACCGTATACAATATAACGCGTAATGTAGAGCGTTTAAATAATAAGGATAGCAAACAATGCAACCTGTCATGTGTAAATGAAACAACAACAGGATATCAGTATACGTGTGAATGAAATAGGTGTATGTTTGTACGTTCCGTGTAGTTCGACTTTCGGAGTGATCAAGCAACAACCCAAAATCGAGCTTTATCGCGTTTGCATAAGAGTTAAATTCGCTTTGACTATAGCGTTGCAGAAATAACTAGTTATCAAAAATAGACAGTTTTGATCGGTGATTGGCGAACTGATGGCGGTTGCGTTACATGATTTAAAAAATGGATAACGACCCATCGCTAGTCTTCAGACTCGCCCGCAGGCATGCCTGTCTAATGAATTCTCCACTTAATGAAATGAAATGAAATATCTTTATTCAAGTAGGCTATTTCCCCTACCACTTGTTCAGGACGTCTTTTAGCTGACAAGAAGAACAAGCGAAAAAAACTTACCAGCTTTTTATCATAAGTAATGACATTTACATAAATCATAGGGCCACGTCCCACGACATATACTAACCCTTTGCTTCGAGTTGGCCGTCGATGACCGTTACTACGAGGGTCAAACTGAAAGTTCTTAGAAAATCAAAAACTGATTACATTAGCCAGTTATTAGTTTTATTATATCTTTTCAAAATATTGTCCATTCACGTCAATACACCGCTGCATGCGATGGAACCACTGGGAAAAGCACTTTGCCCACTCGTCCTTAGGGGTCTCTTCAATGGCATCGCGATACGCAGCCACCGCTTCTTCAGCATTCATAAAACGCTTTCCTTTAAGTTTTTCTTTAATTTTTGGAAATAAATAAAAATCACAAGGCGCGAGGTCGGGGCTATACGGCGGGTGACCCAGTAATTCAACGTTTGATGTCGCCAAATAGTCGATCGTTCGCTTGGCGGTGTGCGACGAGGCGTTGTCGTGGTGAAGGAGGATCCTACTGCGAGGTCGTTTCTCTCGAACTTTTTCCAAGACAAGTGGCAAACAATTGGTAGTGTACCATTCTGCAGAAACTGTTTTTTGATCCTCTAACACAATTGTTGCAAAATGACCTATCCTTCCAAAGAACGAGGCCACCATTTTTTTTCCCGCACTTCGATCTCTCTTCACTTTAGTTGGCAACTCCTCGAAAGGAAACACCCACTGAGCAGATTGTCTTTTGGTTTTAGGATCATAACAGTAAATCCAGCTTTCGTCACCTGTTAGTATGTCGAACACAGCATTTGAGTCACCTCCGTTAAATCTTTCAATCATTTTACGACACCAATCCACACGATGGAGTTTTTGAGCCTCAGTCAAATTATGAGGTATCCACCGGGCGCAAAGCTTCCTGACCGCTAAATGTTCGTGGAGGATTTTGTGCACTTGACTCATACCGATGCCTAAGCTTGTCCGAATCTGTTGATAGGTCACTCTTTTGTCAGTCTCTATCATACGCCGCACAACACAGATGTTATCTTCAGTCGTCGCCGTAGAAGGCCGTCCCTCACGTAAATCATCAGTGAGATTAGTGCGACCACGTTTAAACTCATTAAACCAGTTGTAAACAGTCGCACGAGATGGGGCTTTATCGTGAAAGGCCAATCGTAGTCTATCATAACTTTCTTGTTGACTTAAATGACATCGAAAGTCATAAAAAATCATTGCACGAAAATTTTCTCGTGTTAAATTCATGATGACGTGACACAGACAATTTTCAATTTGCCGCCAAATCGTAAAACAAATGACAAATGAATGAAATATATACTCAGTAATATTGGCAAAGAGTTATATTTTCAAATTTTAGAATTATTTTTTATTATATTGTTTATAAGTGGCCAGTTCTAAGAACTTTCAGTTTGACCCTCGTAAATAATGTAAGAGGCACATCAACTAGGTAGTACCGTCGGCAAGGACATAATCATTGTATTTTAACTCTACTAAATACAATTTGGGGAGTACTTTACATAAGATTATAAACTTTAAAAGGCGACTAGTAACACCACTAAAACATAAATTCATTGAAATACAGAGGTGGTAATATCCAGTACGCGCAGACATACGCGATGTCGTTGCTAGCGGTACTTAGATGTGCCTGGATGTTCTGTCAACTCGAAGCGAACGCTAGTACACCCTAAAACATGTTATTAGCATAATTGATACAGATATTAAGGGAAACTAAATCCTTTTAGTATAAATATAGTACAATAACTACTGTAATATTAAAATAAGTCGTGTTTGTTCACTAGTATCATCTGTACAATGTATTATTAATGTGTCAAATGTATATAATAATTTTATCTCAAAAATTATGTTTTTTACTTTTATCCAAAATATGATAAGTTCTGATTGTAATAAACTGAAATAAGGTTATTAAAATGAGGATCTAATGAAACTTAAATTATAATGACATCTATATATTTAACCGTTTTCTTCAATTTGGAATAAATATTAAAAGCCGTTTCACATAGTATGGGTACAGTGACATTTGTTACAAATTCATTTCATGTAATTTTTATTTCCAAATAATGAAAAACCATAGTTATATATTTATTTAAATTTTCATTTCATTTCTAATAGAGATGAACTCAATAATATCGAGTCTTGTGTATATTTTTATTACCACATGAATAAAACCTTAAAATTCCAAATGTCACCACACCCATGCTGTGTAAAAAAGACTATAGTTAATTATTTGTAAAGAACCGGACCTACAGAGAGATTGTTCAGGACTTAATTTTAACAGATTGATTGACAGACCGTTGAATTTTCTCTGTATGGCCACAAGTCCAGTTCATTACAAATTCTTGAAGCTATGTGGTAAAGCCCCTGTTATATTTCTATTTGAACAATACTTGTTTAAAATGTTCTGTAATAAATGTTATATTTTTTTGCTAAAATATAGTGAGAGTATGTACATGTAAATGAATATACTTAATTTGAATTTATTGTACAGTTAACAGCTCATCAAATTAAAAATCTGTCAAATTTCACCACTCGATTTTATACTTTAATATATTGAGGGTAGACATCAAAATCCATTGTAGAAACTTGATATATTATGGTAACTTGACGTGCCGCCGTATGTACTTAGTTAATGAACAGTCAACAGCACGTCAGGTTATACAAATCTGTCAAATTTTAAACCTTAGTACATTGAGAGTAGATATCAAATGGTATTATAGAAATTTAACATATTGTGGTAATTATTATATTTGATCAAGTTTGTACCAGCCTTAATATAAAGTATTAATGAGTTATCATTTGGCAATGGTTAGATGATTTCATAACTTTAATTGTAAACTATAATCGCTTAAATTTGTTGGTTCTATCACTGGTTAATGTTATTATTTTTCTATGTCACAAAAGAAGATGGTGGCACCCTAAGTAATTTTGATACAGGGCCATCCAAAGCATGCTACAGCACTGATTAAAAGTACAAGTATATGTGCTCTTAGAATAAATATTGAATATAGTATTACTTGATCACTCCCTGTCTACTCTGTTCATTATGTTTATACTTCTGTTATTTTAAATTTAATGATGTTAGCATATCTTGCACGATACTTTCATGTATATAATTTCTGTTTTCTTTTGTAATCTGAAAAATTAATGCAAAATCTCAAAATCTGACTGAATATAAAAATATATATTTTCATCAAAATCAAAACTAATGCAGGCATTTCATTTCATTGATCATTATTATTTTCTCTTTTACATTCCAAAGACACTACCACTGTCTGTTTTGTAAGTATTATGTAGAAATGACGGTTGATAAAATTATTTAACGGTACAACTTACTGTCCAGACTTTAGATTTGGTATTGTGCCGTATACTTTCAATGAGTCTATCACTTGCCCTCAATGGTATTGTAGCTAATACCATAAATGTAGAATCTGAACTAAAAATATCTTGCACCCTAGCTTTGAAAGGATTGCTAAAGAATTCCATTTTTCCTATTTCATCTATAATTAAAAAATAGGGCTCAGTTTCATCCTGCTGAAAGAAAAATGTTATTATATAGTACTTTTTTATATGTGTAAATAATCCAATGTGTATTTTTAAAACTGTACACAAAGAAAAAGGGTTTCAAACATTTTTTCAACTAAATATAGTAATTTTCAGAATATGCTATAAAATATATAGTACTCTCAAAAAATATATAGTATTAGTTCTGCATGTTTACACACAAGTTAACACACAAGAACCATACATTTCCCTAGGATAAATAGCCTAATTATATGTTACTCTAGATTATTAGATTATAATCTAGAATAACATGCTCTGTAATCTCATTCAAATACGTTCAGCCATTTTTTGATGTTACAATAATAAAAAAAACAATTGACACATTGAGTACACAACTTCAATATTTCAGACAGCTATGAATATCTATTGATTTAATGGAAAAAATATACTATTAAAACATATTTGCTAGGTACTGACATGTGTTTTCTGTCATAAATACCTAAGTATTATGTGTTGTTCATGCCAATGCAGGTTATTCTTTTAGATTTGCAATATTTCATTTGATTATGATGTGATGACAAATATCATCATCATCACAACAATCAACAATAAAGCGTAAGCTTCAAGTTGACTAGTATAGTCATAAAATGGCACCACTGACTAAGTTTTGCTGCCGCTTGAGCAATATACAATACAAGTTCCACTGTGGTCTCTGATCTACCAACACCCAGCTCAGAGGGTTGTTAGTTACTACTACCAAGAAGGACCTCATCACCTACTGATCCTACATTGGTACCTCGATGTAGGACCACAATGTCATTAATAAGATTTTTATATTACAAATGCGTTCAGCTATATACTATAGAATGGTTGGCCACACAACCAAATAACTACCTGTAAAAGTGCAGGTAAAGCTATTTTTTCAAATTCCTGGACAAGGACTCCATATTTCCCTACTTTAAACTTGACAGTGTTGCATAATAGAGATACATCTCGAGCTAAACGACCTCTTTGACCTTCCAGTGTCACGATATCGAACCCTTCTCTGACCCTATTCTGCCTAACCTCTTCTGTAAAGAAACCGGCAGTTTTGATGCCTTTACTTCTTAAAATTTGGTTTAACTTCTTCGTCAAAGTAGTCTTGCCAACACCTGAATAATGAAAGTATTATAATAGCGATTGTATTGTGTTTCTAATAAAAGTTATTGTCTAACCTGGTTCACCAGTAAGTAAAAAATATTTGATACAAGTCATATTGTCTAATACTTGATAAGTAAAGATTTATTTCGTGTAGATGCGCAATTTAATATAAAATAACTTAAAATAACACGAAGAAAGAAAGAAAACAAACGGTTATTTCATTCAAAGAGTATTTAAACAGAAGTAATGTTATTATTTTAAACGATTTCTTCTTCTTCTTCTTTTTTAATTCATGGCCTATTTGCATTTACACAATTCCGCCAATGTCACGTTTGTGGTCTTTACACGTATAGAAACAATAATAAAATATGTAAAATTTTGAATTTAAATAAAATAAAAAAAATAGCTCTGAGCGCGTCTATCTGATTACATTGTTAAAGATAATACAAATAGAATGTATATAGAAAACAAATATATTTATAAATTAAGATTATTATTGATTGCAAAGAATTTTGTTAAAATTTTGAATGGGCTGGGATTCTCCATACTCAAGATACATTTTATATTTGTTGGACGTGGAACTTTTGATGGTAGCAAATCATAAAGCGAAATGGATAAATTTGAACAATAAAATAAAATATGATCCGTAGTTCCTTCCTCAATGCCACAATCGCAGAGGGGGTTGTCTTTAATTTTAAATTTGGCAAGTCGAACCGGCGTACACACATGTCCAATTCTCAGGCGACAAATAATTGAAATCGTTTTTTTACTTAAAAGCTTTTCCTTAAAGAACCAGGGAGTACTGGGGATAGTTCTCTGAATTTCAAAATAATACTTTCCCGCTCTATTTCTAGTATTTTCCCAATCAACATTCCATGACCTCATTAAATGCTCATGTGCTAGTACAAAGAGATCGTGATGAAAAAGTTTGGAATATTTTAAAGAGCCAGTTATAACAGCTTGCTTAGCACATGCATCAGCTGTCTCGTTCCCAGGAATACCACAGTGTCCCGGTATCCATGCGAGGGTAATGAGCAGCTTCTTAAGATGGCACCTATGCAATGCTTGTCTTATTTTAAATATTATTGGAAATTTATTTTTAGAACGAAACGGATGTGATATTATAGACTGTAAGCAACTCTGTGAATCTGTGAAAATGATAGTTTTGTTAAAGTTATGAGATTCGGCAAATAGGATGGCCTCAAGGAGAGCTAAAGCTTCTCCTGTAAATACAGAAGAGAGAGAGGGAATTTTGAAACTTAATACTAATCTGTGAGCGGGAATCCATACTGCTGATCCAACTGGATCATTAACATGCTGCTTGGACGCATCAGTGTACATAGAAATCCAGCCTTTATATTCCGATGCTAATTTCCGTGCCATTGTACGCATGGCATATGGAGAGTCTTTGTCGATCCCAAAATCAAGAAGAATGATCGGCTCAAAAATAAGTGATTCAAAACTATTTTCAAAAAGAGGAAGACGAGAATACCGTTCTATGGGAAGGGAAGGAGTATGGAATTTTTTGTAGCTATGGAGGATACAAGAGACACCTACCGATGAACTGGAGGAAGTACTAGAAACTTTCAACAATATTTCTAATTTTTTAAGTAAAGGATGGGATGCACGTTGTATAACTTTAAGGAAAAATCGATCACTCAAAAATTGCCTACGCAGATACAAAGGGGGATCAACGCATTCGATCTGGAGACTATTGATAGGAGACGATTTCATGGCACCTATAATAATCCGCAAGCATTTTGATTGAACTTTAGAAATTTTATCAAGTGGCAACTTATTACATGGGTCTAAAAGAAAGGAACCATAATCGAAATGACAGCGGACTAGGGCATTATATATTAATTTTTGAGTGAATGGATGAGCACCCCACCATACACCCGAAAGAGCACGGAGAACATTGACCCCTTTCTCGCATTTATTTACAACACTATGGAAATGAGGAGTTCCTGATAATTTAGAATCTAGAATAACGCCTAAAAATTTTACTTGGTTATTCATGGGAATAGGGACATCTTGAAAAACTATTTGAGCTGTAGGAATGTTACGCTTTCTGGTAAACACTACACTGCAGCATTTAGAAACTGATAGTGACAAGCCGTGATCCATTAGCCAATCACCAAGATAACTTAACGCAGTATTGAGACGAAAGCAAGCTTCCTCGATTGAATTCGATCTTATATAGAGGGCTACGTCATCTGCATACTGTAAGACTTGACAGAATGAATCTACAACACTCTCTAGGTCATAAGTATAAATACTATATAGCAGGGGACTCAAAACCGACCCTTGAGGTAGACCATACCAAACAGACCTGACTATAGAAGGCGCTCCATGACATTTGATTTCGATAGACCTAGCTGAAATAGAATTAACTATGAATCGAACCAACTTCTCGGGAACACTCAACTGAATCAATTTACGTCTGAGAATTGGAAGAAGGACATTATCATAGGCGCCTGCTATATCTAAAAACGCAGCAACTACATATTGCTTTTTCTTAAAAGCTATACGAATATCAGTCGTAAGTATACTTAAATTATCCAGAGTGCTGAAACCCTTTCGAAAACCAAACTGAGATTTAGCCAAAAGACCTTGACTCTCAAAAAACCACTCTAGACGATTCCTGATCATATGTTCTGACACTTTGAAAAGGGTGGACGATAACGCAATGGGCCTATAAGAATTATAGTCCAAAGGGTCTTTGCCAGGTTTAAGCAGAGGGATAACTAGTTGCTTATTCCAGGATTCAGGGATGATACCTAAATGGTAAAAGGTATTAACTAATTTCAAATAATATAGTTTGGTTTCTTCCCTCGACTTAACAAGAAACGAATATGGAATACCATCTATACCGGGGGCAGTATCTCTAAGACCTCCAAGTGCCAAGTCAAGTTCCCGCAAGGTGAAAGGATTATCTAAATTACCAACAGATGGGATGATGTCATATGTTTTTATAGGAAGATAGTCACAGTTCGGAACAAACGAGGGAGCGAGTTTATCAGCAAATGAGGTAACCCATCCTGATGGATCGTTAGCTGACACAGATTTTGACCTCATAGAACCACGAAATCGATTCATTTGTCTCCAAACCATGCCTGCGGAAGTGCGAGGAGACATGCTTTCGCAAAACCTAGTCCAACCAAGTTTCTTTTTTTGAGATAAAAATTTTTTGGAGTGAACAGCTATTTGTTGGTACTGAGAGAAGTTTTCTTCAGTCATAGACAGATTGTATTTCTTCTCTGCTTCCTTTCTCTTACGGATAATGTCTGTGCATTCGGAATCCCACCATGGTGGAGAATTTCTTTTACGTATCGTTGATTTCGTGGGAATATGAGAATTGGCAGAACTGAGAAGAGTTTCCGTGAAGGCTTCATATGCAGTCAAACAACTTGCATTGGAAATCTCAGGTAATGAATTTAATTTATTTTTAACTTCTAAAGAAAAACATGTCCAATCAGCTTTATTTAAATCAAATTTCAAAAGGGGAGTACTACTGAATGTTGTGAGCGTACGGTCAGGTAAAGTTAAAAGAATGGGAAAGTGATCACTACCAAAGGTACTACTTAAAACATCCCATAAAAAAAGAGAAGATAGACGCGAAGAGCAAATGGATAAGTCAACTGCACTCTGGTTCTGTGATGGGGAGTTTCTCCTTGTAGGTCTACCATTGTTCAAAACACATAAGTCCAGCTCATCTAATAAATCAATAATTAAACTGCCAAAGGTATCGGAGTGATAGGAGCCCCATGACTCATGATGAGCATTGAAATCACCCAAAATAAGCACAGGCGGTGGTAAAGCAGAAATAATTACCCGGAGTTCCAATAAAACAGATACATTTGGGTGTGGGATATATAACGAAAGAAAAGAAATATTATTTATTCTAACAGCAACAGCATTAATTAGATCCCTATTATGAACAGGAAGTGGGACTTGAGTAAATAGTAGGGAGTTACTAATAATGAGAGCACTTCCTGCATAACCATCATCTCTGTCATCGCGCAGACATAGATATCCAGGAATATTGAAAGAAATATTCCTAGGAAGCCACGTCTCCGAAATGGCAAAAATAAGAGGAGAGTACTTATATATAAAATATTGGATTTCATGCTTTTTAGAACGAATACTATTGCTGTTCCACTGAATTATATTCAGAGGAGCCATTTTTGGTTAATAAATTTAAAAGAGGTAAAATTTTCGGAGCTACGTTGGGCGGTAATGGTACGTCACTGAATTTCGACAAAATATTAGCAACAAGCAACCACAGAAGATCAAGACAATCGTCATTCGGAACTATATCATTAGTACTCGAATTACCAAGGGCACATCCATTAGGAAGAGTTGGAGGACAATTCCTAATTATGTCCTGGTGAGCCTGCTTGTCATATTCCTTCCCCAGGGCAGAATGTTGTCGAGGAGAGAGGAAAACAGTCTTTTTATAAGAACGAGAAGTCAGAGGTGAGGGTTGAGAATGCACAATTTGAGGTACGGTTGTAGTCGAAGAATTTACTGACTCAGAGTACAACCTTCTTACATTGGGATATAAAGCAGAAGCTTCTTGGAAAGAAATATTATCTTGAGTCATTCTAATTTTGATCGACTTTTGGCGACACTGTTCAGGACAGATCTTGTTCGTAGCAAAGTGTTTACCAGAACAGTATAAACACGAAGCAATATCTTCTGTAACATTACAACTCTCTCCCATATGCGGCTGCGCACAACGATAACATCTCGGTTTAGATCGGCACTGAGATTTAATATGTCCAAAACGGCAACAATTGTTGCATTGGATAATTGGGAGTTGATATGGGATAACGGGAATAGAGGTATAAAAAGAAAAAACTCTTTCAGGGAGATTTTGTCCTTTGAATGTTAAAACAACTGATTGGGTAGGGATCCAAGAAGCATGACCATCTAAAACTCGTTTTCTATTGAGGCGTCTGGCTTTTAGAACCATCCCACAGTAATCAGGAATAACTAAAGAGTCGACCAGCTCGTCCATGCATATTTCCGTTGGAATGCCTCTAATGACACCCATGCGTGTAACATTAAAAGTAGGAATTACTACAGTATAATTGTAACGAGCTAATAAAGGATTTATTAAAAAGTTATTAGCATCCTTACCAGTTTTAAATTCAACAGCAATACGGTTGCGGCCAATTTTTTTGACACCATCCTTAACTATATTGGTGATTTTGTTTTGCTTTAGGAATTGCCCGAAAATAATTGGTCGAATAGTAGTTCCAGTTGAAGGATTTGACTCAATCTTTGAAACGTGTATAATAAATGGGCCCTTATCAAGATCAGAATAAGACTTATGACCCTCTTTTAATGACGGGTGTGTATATACTGATTGACTTGTTGATGTTGAAACTATGTTAATTTCATTTTGTTGCAACTTCAAAGAATCAGTAATAACTTTTTTAATGGGCTCACATTGATTTTCGAATTCAATACGTCGTTTTGTGCCGGATTGGCTAAATATTGGTGGTGATAGCTCCATCGGAGATTGAGTCAACTCCAACTCTCCATCAGGAGGATCCGGAGGATCCGGAGGAACCCGGTCCATTGCTTATACAGAAAACAAAATTAAATATTAATTAAGCACTTAAATAAATATACAAACGTAAACAGGTAATAATCCACAGCAACAAAATAGCGAGATAGCACAACAAAGAGCAAGCAAAATGACTAAAATAATCAGAACACAAAAAAGACGTGTATCAACCAACACACCGTTTTGACATTCCCCTTTAAACGATTTAAACGTGAAGAAAAGAAAACAGCTGTAAGTGACAGCCATAGAACAATTGGCATGCAGTTTGTTTTTTTCTATAAAAAGCAAAAGAATGTAACCTACCCTACAGCATACTTTTTTTAATGCCCAGTATTTAAAAATAAACTGTAGTTCCCGAAATCGAACTAGATGTCGCTACAGTACGTTTCTGATTTCTCCATGACAACCCTTCCGGTTTTCTTTCATGTATAAAAGTAAATTAGTTTTCAAAACTCAGTAAACTACTCATATTCTATTTGTACTTTTTCGTATTTGTATTGATATCTAAGTTTCGAACTTTTCAAATTTCAGTTTTTTAATCTGTTAGTTAAAAGGAACGGAAATGACTGTCTTTGGTCCATTCGTTTCCTGCAAAAATCATCTTTTGCTAGAGTCGCCTTCTAGTGGAGGTGCTTTTTTAGTGCTTTCGTTTTTTTTAATACTTCTTCATTAAAACCTAAATATATCAAAAAGGATCCAAAGCTACTTTAACCTTTATATTTTAATAAATGTGGTAAGTTAGTTCTGTTAAATGACATTATAATAAGATAATGTATGTGGTTTTTTATGCTATTAGATAAAAATATAACACACAAAAATGTTAAATCAACATGCAAATACAGCTTAAACTTCATTCGTCTATATCTCAAGACAAGTGGATGGATCCTTTTTGATTAACTACGTCCAATTGGACGTAGTTAATCAAAAATTACTTACACAAACCACTTACATTATCTTAGTATAATGTCATTTAACAGAACTAACAATATTTATTAAAATATCGATTCTGATGGACATTTTGGTTTTAACTCATTTTCGACCAATTTATGGGTTGGAGCCTTTTTTGAGTAACTACGTCCAATTATGCTTCTGATATTGATAACAACTGTTTATTGTAATCTGTTTATATGGACTACATAATTGTAACAAAAACCCAAGTGATTTAAATGATACCTTTTTGTGAAACAAAAGATATTTAAGAATTAAACAAAGTCTGCATATACGTACGCTGTGGAAGAAATAAACGAAATTATTATTATTATGTTAAACCGGTCATGTTCTCAAGCCCGGAATAAAATGGCAACGCGTTTAGACGCTCTGAGTTGTCATAAAAATGGTTTTTTTACACGGGTTTCACGGATTATGCGATTATTAGAACATAATTAATTATTTTTTTATGGAAATCGAATCCATGTTAATTAATTTTTTTTTGAAACCGGTTTAAACTCAAAAAAAAATACGAACTCTTCACTCCGTACTTCTCTGTCTTTTCTACATTCGTTTGGAAATAACTCCAAAGCAAAGAAGCATTAAAACATAAAACACTATCGTTTTAACATATCGTTTTACTTTTAATAAAAAAAACTACATAGATAGGCTGTGTGGACTGATCTAGCTACCTTACCTTTGCCTTTTATAAATTAAAAAAGTTAGGTACACAAAAGCACACACACCTTAGGGTACTAAATTAAATATCCGTAATCTATTTTAAACTAAATTTATAAGGTGATAAGATTTAAATTAATAATTAGAGGAAGATACTACAATAACAACCTTTTGTTGGCTGTACTTTTTTATGAGAGCGAATTTGTTATCAAAATCTTAAGATATCAAAGTTCAACTTTCGTAATATATTTATTCTGTATTCAATAATCATCAAGTTGTTTGTCAGCTTGTAAGTAAAGCAGTGCTACGTAAGATTTTGTCAAAAATGGCTGGTGCCGGATCTGTTACTCGTTTAATTCTAGGTAAAAGTTTGATGACCGGCCGTGTTTCAACTATCGTCAATGCCGATTTTGTGAAGTTCTACAGCGTTGGTAAGTATTTATAACCTACAAAATCGTTGGTAAAAATGATTGTGATAGAGGTGTACTATTTTATTCATAACCATTGATTCTAAACCTTTTAGTCATTATGGACGGTAGAAATACTTCATCTGAGTTATTCACTTAACAAATTTATATCTTGCTATTGACCTTGGACTTATTTTATTATCCAGAATCCAAATATAGATGAATAAAGAGTTGTTATGTGTCTGTAATAAATTTTCAGCTCCATGGATCACTTGAAATATGTCTAAGGGCCACCAGTGATCTGCTGACCACCATTTATAACCACCAGTTAAAAACTGGAGGTATCAATGCCTAAATGTGAAAAGTTATTCAATTGCATTATCTTAGTATTATTATCAAAATAACAGGTTGCTAAGTTTATAACAAGATCAGCTGGCATAACACCAGTCAAACTTTTACTCCAACCCACTTAGAGATTCTTCACCTTATCTTAACTTTATGAAAAGTATTACATTCAGTGATTATATTGATCTCTTATAGTAATTCTAAAAACATTACCCACTTTAAAGTAAATTCATATAATTTAAAAATGAAATTTTAAAAATGTGTACTTTGTTATTTATTTCATATGTACAGACAGCTGAATTGAGTTGATCATAGTTAACTTCATGGGGGAGAGTACAATAATGTGTATAACTTAAAAAATACTTTTATGTGTGTTATCACAACAATTCATTTAATTTTTTTTCTTAATTACAAGTCTTATGGTCAGTTGAACAAACATCCATTAAGATTTAACATCGCCTTTAAATGCTAATTAATGTCAAATTTGTATGGGTAATGTTGTTTCAAACTAATGAAAATTTTAATGGATGTTTGTGCAACTGGCTGTTAGCTACACAATATTGCACTACCATCAATGGTATGTTATCACCAAAAAATGTTGCTTGCCAATTAGCCTTTCAACCATCTATCTATATCATATTTTTATTATCTTCCTTAAGATTGGTTGCTATGCAAAATTGTCATTTATAACATTGTTTTTCGCCATATCTTATCACTTGAAACTACATAGTTTTACTATTTTGTAAATTGATAAACCCGAATTATCTTGACGTAAAATATTTTAAAATACACCCACCATTATGTAACAAACACTGATAAATTGCCACTGCAACTAATTTTCTTATCTGATTAGCTATTAATATACAAAAAAAAACTAAAGAATATTTAACAACCTATTTTTTTCATTTCTCAGCACCATCATATGAAAACATCATAGTTGATGTAGTTGGTACGAAGAAAAATGTAGGCCTTATCCAACTAAACAGACCTAAGGCACTGAATGCACTCTGCAAGCCTCTGTTTCAGGAGATTGGTAAAGCAGTGAAGGACTTTGAAAACAATGATAGTATTGCAACCATCATCATCACCGGTTAGTAGTTTAACATTGTACTATTTACTGTGCTTATAAGCACTGCAGTAGCAGCCTGCCCGGGCTATACACAGGTATCGAAGTTTTCATATAGATCTCTAACATTTTTGGAAGGTATGCCGTTGCCTCTGTTATGAGCAATAATGATTCTAATGGTAAAAACTTTTATGAATCCGCAACTCTTGCTGAAAAAGCTAAATATTATTTTATAAAAGTTAATAGCAAATTTTTTTTTCTGCAGGCAATGAGAAAGCATTTGCGGCTGGTGCAGACATCAAGGAAATGCAAAACAATACCTACAGCACAAATCAAAAACAAGGTTTCCTTCAAGAATGGGAAGATATCAGCAATTGTGGGAAACCGATCATTGCTGCTGTCAATGGATTCGCTGTAAGTAACAAGTATGGTAGTACCTTTATTGCACCTACTAATATTTTAAATGTGAAAGTTTATATGGTAAGATGTATGTATATTTGTTTCACTTTCACGCAAAAATTACATAAAGAATTTGAATGAAGTTTGGTATATGGATTATTCTAAGCCCAGAATAGCATATAGACTACTTTATATCCCGCTAAACTTAGTTGTCTCTTGTTTACGAACAAAAAATAATCCAAATTATTAAATTATTCTATATCTATCAACGTAAATTTTCTTCCCATCCAGCTAGGCGGTGGGTGCGAATTAGCCATGTTATGCGACATTATTTACGCCGGTGAAAAAGCAAAGTTCGGACAACCAGAGATTAATATCGGCACGATCCCCGGCGCGGGCGGCACCCAGCGCCTGCCACGGTACGTCGGCAAATCTAAAGCCATGGAAATTGTACTCACCGGCAACTTCATAGATGCCCACGAAGCCGAAAAGATGGGTGGGTAGTCTTTTTTATTTTCAATTTTTTGAAATTACTGTATTTGTATTTGGCTGTACTTCGCACACACGCACTTTTAATTACTGTTTATGTACAAGGATTACCCACACACCGCCGCTCGCACATATGAGGTTATCTTGCTATAATTAATTAGGAATATTTTTTTTCTAATACAAGTAAATAAGAACCTAGACCTCAATCGCTATACTTAATGTCCTTTTTTTGTTCAGGCTTAGTCAGCAGAGTATTCCCAGTCGACAAGCTTCTAGAAGAGACCATTAAACTGGCAGAAAGAATCGGCACCCATTCGCCGCTGATAGTGAAGATGGCCAAGCAGGCAGTGAATCAAGCCTATGAGACAACGCTTCGTAGTGGTTTGCAATATGAGAAGTCGCTCTTCTACGGCACTTTCGCAACGGTTAGTACTATTTATGGCGAGTTCCATGGCGAGGACCGCGCAAACTATAGTAATGGAATTTTTAAAGACACAATGGATTACTTATTCCTTTGCTGCTCCTTTGTAAGAAAAGTTTGAGATCTACAAAATTTGTTCTAAAATAATCCTTTTTCGTTTACAGGAGGACCGTAAGGAAGGAATGACTGCCTTTATTGATAAGAGAGCACCGAATTTCAAGAATGAATAAGATTTTCGTCCCTTATCGATTTTATGCCATTTATAGTGTTAAGAAAAAATGCAATATTCCAATTTTGTATTGTTGTTACATATAAATCATGTTAGAAATATATATATTTTTAATACAGTATTATTTATTACTACATAGCAGTAAGGGGAAATGTGCCACTAAAATGAATTTTTAAAGCAAATTGCGAACCTTTTTCCGCTACATGTACGATATATATTATACCCCAGATTGCAACTCATGCGTTTTGACTACATTATGATGACTTTTAGTTTATAATTTAATAGTTTAGCGTTTTTTTCTTTTAATTGAACTTTACAAAATGACACTGAGTTAAGATGAAGTTTATTACTCATTATTTAATATATAGTATGTATAAACTTGCAATAAAATCTTTCTGGCTATACCATCTGTATCTGGCTGGTTCGGTCTCATTGAAAAAGTTTAAGTTTTAAAGGTTCCAAATTCAAATGAGGAAAATGCGTGATTTTCATTTGTTTTTCTTACTCTCAAAATGAGTGAAACTAATGAAGAAATTCTATTCATTTTAAAATTTTATTACATAAAATCTTTTCCTTTTTTTTACATTTATGGTACTAGTCTGTGCAGTTTTTGTGAGAGTAGCACAGTTTTAAGAATTTTCAGGCCGGAAAAAGAAAGACGCACATCGCTCCGGTCGCCCTGTTAAGATAGATGCCATTTTTGAACCGTGTACTCATTTGTGATTCTTTATTACGACGTAATGAAACCGAACCATTTTCAGGGTGTCCACTTTCTGGAAAATCAGGGAACGTCAAGGAAGTAACAGATGGTCAGAGAAGTCAAGTAGTAAGAAATATATTTAATTCATACAATGACTTTTTTAATTCGGAGTCTTAACTATTATTGTGATATTAAGTGCCAATTTTAACAAACCTAGACGCATCCTGGACGTCAGCATATGTGCGATTAAAATGTCTGGGCTCGTCAATAATTAAAAAACAATAAGGCGGCGGATAATGACGGAACGAAGTGGGCGGTAAGCCAATATTGAAAAAGTCCTCTCGACCTTATTTAATTATATTATCCTCGAGGGCAGAACGCCGAAAGCATCGAGTGGAAGTGACACTCGAAGAACTAAAGGGCGATCTCGCTTCTGTTCCATGGCCATAAGTTGTTTTGAAGATTCATTACAAACCGTCACGCTCATAGGCTCGACGATTTCCAACCCCCTGAACAAGTCGGTTTCCAAAGAGGCTACCGATGTGAATAATGTGCCACTCTGCGTAGCGTTTGTACAAGAAAGGTTTTGATTTGATCAAGACATGATAATTTTCTTTTGTTTCGAAAAAGTGATTTCTCATCAACGCGGGTTGGCATTCAGGAAGTTACGAAAAATATTTGCGTCCAAATTACCTCAGTGTCTCGAGAAAAAGGTCTGCAACCAGTGCAAGCAAAATTTGCTCGTTCACTGCGTGTCTCGTCACAGAACACAGACACAGACGTTAGAAGGACCTTGTGGGCGTGGCAGCGTAGACACGATCTTGGACAAATGTACAGGCTCATGACCAGAGGTCGGAATTAGGTAGAGTTATCGGTGCATCGAAATGTTGATATTAATGTGGACCTTCGTGGCAACATCGCGCGTATTGGTATTTTGCAACTTTGGACATCCGATGTCATTGATGTAAGTTTGGCAATGTCGTGCGTGCAGTAGTTTAAATTGTGTAAAAGTAAATAACTTTTTATTTTAAAATCACGGGATTTATTCTGCTCTTTAAAATTAATCTCGGGATTTGAGGCATATCCACTTTATTCTTACACTGTATGAAATCAGTGTAACGTAAGTACATGAATAACTCTACCTAATTCCGACCACTGCCCATGACTTCACCGAGCGATCGCGATGTTTAGTCATTCAAGAACGCGTGCGCTGTATGTATGGTAAAACACACCACTAAAAGTGTTAAAAATACCGGCTTGCACGGTTATTAATTGCAAAACAAGAAGCCAATCCTGAACTAGGTCCAAAGGAGGGATTTCTTTTCAATAGTAAGTAGAAAACTTCTCAAATTTAGTATTTTTAGTGAAATTCGCGAAATGTTATCAAAAGTGTTAATAACAAAAAAATATTTCTGAATACATATACATTGCTGGAGAAGTACGCAAATTTATTACATTGCGTCGTACTAAGCACGTAATGTAAAGAAATTGCGAAATCACCGTTTTTAAATAACAACAATATATTACGGTAAATCACTAGTGAAGTGCCATGGAAACAATTAAACGATTCTTTGTGTGTTATCAGTAAAAACTAAATAACAGTAAGGACGATAGAAATAGTGCTAATAAAAGATAAATTTAATTTAACAATAGCAATAAATAATATGTAACCCTATTCTAGATTTCCATATTGATTTCGTTCTGTATGGATTTGTATATTAATTTAATAATGAGTGTGGTGTAACGAAATAACTGTTTTTATATTCCTAATATTGTAACATAATATTGAATACTTTTTAAATCGTCGGAATCCGTTCGGGGTAAGTACCAATAGCATTTATTGTAATAATTGTATTTTTTTATTTTGTATACATTATATTGTTTGTCAATATTACTAGTTTCATTTAAGAGATATTACCAATCTTATCAGTTTATTTGATACGAAATCGAGTAACGTAACGTAAAAAATTACCTACTATTAATGTGTATAAACAAACCAATAAACATATATGCAAATAAATATTTAAGCACGATTAGTACCGATTCATTGTTAGTTCATTATTACGAAGTGATTTAAATATTTCTTACTGAATTAACCAGCTAATAAATATTTATTACTAATTACACCAGTATCCTTTCAATGAAGAAGTATTGAAAAAAAAAAAAAATTCCCGAAACCAACTAGATGTTACGGTACTTTCTTGATTTATACATGACAACCCCTACCGTTTTCTTTTCAAAACTCAATAAACAACTCACATTCTATTTGTACTTTTTCGTGTTTGTAATGATATCTAAGTTACGAATTTTGCAAATTTCAGTTTTTTAATATGTTAGTTAAAAGAAACGAAAATTGTCTTGTTGTTTTTCAATATCGATAGTAAATCGCTTTAAATCAATCACTAGTGTAATATGTCAAATAAAATGGCTTTTACATGTGTTTTGCGCGCTCAAATGTGAGCATTGGTTTTGAAGCGAAAATTTTTTGGAAATTAAGAATAAGAAATTAGGTGCTTGTGTGTGTGCATGCGTGTGTATGTATTTCATCGGATAGTACCTGAAACATTTTACTGATAAAATGTGTTAATTCCAAAAGTCAGGGTAATTTTGATAAATGGTCAAGGAAAAGTCAAGGATTTTTTTTTGACATTTAGTGTGGACACCCTGATATTTGAAGCAGCTGAAAAAATGGATCACATACAACGTGGGATTCGAAAGGCATTATTCATTATGAGCTGTTACCGCTAGGCAGGACCATCGATGATCACCTCTACTGTGAACAACTGATGAGATTAAAGCAAATAGTTGAGCAAATATTCCTTCTAGTGATTAATTCTGGCCGCTTTATCTTTTTCGTCATGATAACGCTAGACCACATATATCGTTTGCCGTTCAGCAAAAATTAAGTGAGTTTTTCTGGTAGGTGTTATTATGATCCTATATATTGACCAAAACGCTCGGACTCTATGGAACTTGGTGTGGTAGTTGGTCTTTATAAATTTTTGAATTAAGGAACTTTGTTTTTTTTGTAAAATATAATAAGTTGTTGTCTTTTTCTTCTTATTATTATAGAAATATAAAAATAAACTACAAACTAATAAAAAAAAAATCGATTAATCCTATTAATATTATAAATGTGAAAGTTTCTTTGTTTGGATGTTTGTCGGTCAATCACGCCGAAACTACTGAACAGATTTTCATGAAATTTGGTATACAGATAGGATATTAGCTGACTTAGATAATAGGATACTTTTTATCCCACCAAACATTTCCCTAGGGTCCACGCGGGCGAAGCCGCTGGCAAAAGCTAGTAACTAAATAAAACAATACCAAAGTACCCAATAAGTAGAAAATAATAAGTGTTTTGCAAAGACTTCTATTTAATTAGTAGTACGACGATCTCGAGTTCGGTGCCATGACATCACAGGCGAGTCGCAGGCCAAAGATGTTACTTGCGAAAACACGTAGTTTTAAATAATCTATAATTTGGCCATTTATTAACTAATTTTAATTTTGTTTTCATATTTATTTTAGTTTTGAACAATGTTTTACTATATTCTGATAAATATAATAATATCTACTTCATGAAACTTCCTAAGCGAAACCAAGGCAAGTGACAACAATTATTTATTCGCTTTTAAGCAATAAGTAATTCTCCTTAATATCTGTCACGTGTTCAAATGCGTGCAATACCGTAAGGATTCTCAGGCACGGTATAAAAAGATCACAAAAAGTTATCTAATGTGCACGTAAGTGTGACGTAAGCTTGCGTTTTAATGAAAACAAGATATTAATATTAGATTCCTTTTATAGCTACATTAAAAAAAACAACTTAACATTGACAGCTTGTGTCATCATTATGTCAAGTCATTTACTAATAGACGACAAAATTGAAAAGTTAATATAATTTTCTATGAAGTTCATGAACTCGAACTATTTGAAATTGCTACTAGCGCCACAAGGAATATTTTGTAATATATTCAATTATGCATAATAATTGTGTTATTCAGCAAAGATTCTGTTTCTTGTGAGAGATTAAATAAAAACACATCATTAAATTATCATAAATTGATTCTTACTTCCGTCATGCAAATGAACCACGAATGAATTTCTTAAATACCTGCCCGCAATTAATATAAGTTTTGTATTATCTTGTGTTTAGTGGTAGCAATAAAATTGTTTCCATGTTTTGGGATCATGTTTACCGGAATCGGCATATTATGCAAGAATTTGAAGATATAGAAGTACACAAAACTAGTGTATCGGTGTTCGTAGCGTTATTTTATCTTGAAATGTTCTATATTCTCATTATGACACTCTCCATACTCAACAGATTAAATCAGAATTTACCATCTTAAAGTGGTTTTGATTACTTTTTGCACAGGTATTTGAAGTAATTTTCTCAATAACTATAAAATTAACCTAACATATTCATATTTCGTTTGAACTACAAAAGTTTGTAATAAATTCTCTATCATTTGTCATTCACCATTTTTTGGTCAATTTGTTACAGCTTTAATCAATAAGTACCTATCAAAAAATGAATCATAATATAAAGCCTGTATCTGAAAAACTGTATCTATACAAAGGTAAAGATAAAACGAATGATATATATGTTGAGTATGCTCTGCAACAACACCATATTGATGGCATAAGATTTTTATACAAACAGTATAAAACTGTAAGTATCATCAACACTGTATTATTGAAACTGAATTCTATCAGTATTTTAGATCTGCTTATTTTATCATATTTAGAGTACTTTTAATTGAATCACATAACATTATTACAAATTTATTACAATTTCAATAGAGCCAAAATCTATTTTTTTTTTTTTATAAATGAATTCAAATTAATTAAGATTATGATGTAAATAATAAGATACACATCAAACCTATGTAATCTATAAGAATCCTACTTTATAATAATTTAATATCCCTTTTAGAATAAGCCAGGGGTTATTTTGAATAATCCTCATGGATATGGAAACTCTTTGCAAGTTACTTTGTTTCTGTGTGCAATAAAACACTTACTTGATAAACCTATTCTCATATTATGTGATGATGGTGAAGAATATAACTGGCTTGAATTATTCCAAAGAATAAATGAAGATAACAATGGTATGTTATTTATTACAGTTAATGTCTAGAAGCATTGATATATTTTGGTCCTATAATGATCTAAACCCAGTTCTAAAATTTTATATTAAAACTAATAGTTTTATTTGGGCTCTTGGTGTTGTACACAAAACAAACAATTCTAACCTTAACTATTAACTGATTGAACTAAATTCAATTGAAAGAATTTGTCTTTTTATAGCAACCATGCTCTTAAATATTTTTCATTAAATAAATACAATAGATGTTCAATAGATATAGATATCAAATCAAACATCAAACCAATCAAGGTAACTTTTTACTTGAGTTATTAGTATCATGTGAAATTGTTATTTTGGTGTTTATTTCCTTATTTATTGTTTTGTTTTCCTAAGTTGTAGTAAATGCATCTGAACCTTCAGTAAAGAAGTTTATATTCATCAAAAACGTGACTGAACTAATAGACTTCGCTCAACGCTCCTGGAGTATTATTGTAGTGGACAGTGATGCTCTACTTAAGATGAAAACTGTGCAAAGCAAGTTAAGTGCAGACTACAAAATATGGATAACTCATGTTGACATAAAGGTATTTCAGAGATCTATTTACGTGTATTATATGCAGATATTATATACATTCTCAGAGAGTAGGCAAGGCAAACTGCCTCCAGCCTCGGTCGAAGTAAAAGAATTTACCAATTATGATACTTCTTTTAATAGATTATTACACCATAATCTAAATGTAACAATGAAGTTAAATTTAATCTGCTTAGACTAGCCTTCAGATGGGTTCGTGTCCTTGCGGATGGAGAGTCCCACACGCCCACTGCCGTCTGTCAAACAGCGGAGACAGTGCATGATGGGCATTTCTCTATGATGGAAAAGGGGTTGTGCCTGCCTGCCCATCCTCTGTTTTTACTCACATTAAATAATAATCTGATGGTGGATTAAACCTAATCTGGATATCGCCCATGAAGAGTCAATAAATAATAACTGACATTTTGTCAATTTTTGTTTTATTGAATTATTTGTTGTAAAATAGATTACTAAACAATAGTGATAAAGATTTTGGGTTCGTTTCTTATTTTTTTGTAAGATAATCAATAATTGCAATGTACTGAAAAAACAATATAATAGATTTGAAACGTTTTTTTCGTCTCCTGAAAAGTTGCATTTTTGCAGTTATTATTTATTGACTCTTCATAGACGATATACTGTTTATTCTAGGAACACCTTCAAACATTCACTTTGATATACAAGTGGATTTATAAAAATGAAAACTTCAATGCAGAGGTCTATAAAGGAAAACCAGGAAATCCGAAGGATTATATATCAAAAACAATTGAACTCTCATCTTTTCTTAAGGATATAGTTTTTAAGACTGCTAATCTTACTCCGTTTGAGGTAAATATGATATATTTCTGTGTCTCTCTGTATATTTCTGATTCAATATGAACTCTCTAAATACCCTAGAAGTGCTATTCTGGATTTTACTTGTCCACAATCATATTATCTATGTCGTTTATAATTTTGGGAATATCTGATAGTACTACTTATAAAATGATATAGACCTAAATTACATTGAGAAGTACAGATTACTATCGGTAGTGAACCTGACTGCGACAAAATTAGGTACAAAAAATAAACAAATTAAAAAGTTATTCAATCAGTATTGTTTCGATTATTCAAATAATTTTGATTTTCAGAATCCCTATGAGAATAAAGTCAAATGCCAACAAAAAGTTTCTGAGAAAAATAAAGATGCCACAGGGACCAAGATTAAACGTTCAAAAAGAATAATAGAGGAAACAAACACTGAAAAAAATAAAATTGCTGGTGTCAGTGCAGCAAAAATACCAAAGGTAAGAAATGGTGAATTGTCTACAGACAATGGCGTTGTCAGTGGTTTAGATAACCATAAAAGTGATAAAGAAGAAACTGATGCTATGAAAATTGATAGTAAACATTCAGATTTAGACATAGAAAATCCCATTAAAAAGCACATGCAAGAATTTAATAACTTTCCTAATGATAGTCAACACATTAAAGCAACTATGGAATATGATACAGACTCTATATTAGATGAAAGAGATGCACAAACTTTTGTATACGATGATAATAATTCAAAATCAAATAGTATGAGTATATCGATTGATAACAATATTCCAATAAAAAATATGTCACAAGACAGCAATGAAGCTTATAATTTAGAAACACAAGAGTTCCTAAATGACAGTAATAAAACAACTTTACTAGAAGATCAAAACAGTAATATTGATGAAGAAATTATAGTTAGTAACATAGCCACAAGTAAACAAATATGTAATAGCAATGAAATAATGGAACAAGTTATCGATGTAGACCAAAATGTAAGCTCGCCGTCTGTTAAAAGAAAAGATGATAATAAAACAATAGGAATGTCACAAAATGATAAAATGGAATCTAAAAATAAACCACCAAACATTGATACTCAAATTGCAGAGCATGAAGATAGGATATTCAAAAAATTCAAAGGCACCTTTTTAGATATATTATTTTAAACTTTTTACAATAGTTAATATCAATGAAAAACTGGCGATATAAAGAGTCGCATAACGTTGCAATAATACAAAGTAGTGTGTGTCGATCTGAATGACCCATTATAACTCTTATAGTTCTGTAAAATTGTTATTTGCTACTATTAAATGCTATCAAACTTTAAAAGGTAAACCATTTTATCGTTATCTTTTTTTGTTATTGGATAGTTTTGTATCGATATTGGTAGTATAAAAGTAGCTAATAAGTAATAACTTTCTAGAACTAGCTAACTGATGAACATAAAATATTAGGTTATTGCATTATATATAAAGTATAAAAAGATTTATATTTTATAATGCGGGTTGGATAATAGATATAATGAATTCCGAATAAGAATAGAATTAACGAGGTATTATTAATATTTATACAAAGATTTCTAATTTTTAACAGAAAACATGATATAAGCTTTCTTATACGTACAAAAACATGTAGGTATTACTATTTATGCATCAATTTTTATTAAAACACAAATTTATTTACCACCATTACTTACTTACGAAGGAGCGATTGAAATTATTGTTTTAGTAAAAAGGCCACTTGGAACATATTTTAAACGTTAAACTGCTGGACAGTAAATAGTCGAAAGTATTATAATATCAATTCCTGAATTGACACTTGATAACGGCTTTAATTCTGCTGATTTTAGCGTAATTGTGGCGATTCAAAGAAGTTTCTATAATAAGTCTGACAGTTCTCGTTACCAGATCACAAGACAACAAGCACATTTGTCAAAATTGATTTATTAAGAATTTTGAACAAAAATACAAAATATAAATAATATCAATATTATTATTATAATAAAAATTAATCAGTATACATAATAAATTAATAGATAAAATATAATATAATGCAAAATAAATTCTATTATTAATAATATAATTAAGTACAATGGCAAAGTGCAAGTTATTAAGACGCCATTAAGATGCATTTATTACATTAAAATCAGCAGAATTATTAAAATTGGCATAATGTTTGTTTATAAATGATTTATACAACTTTATCCCATCAATATAAAGCCGAAAAAATATTTCAATTTGACAATTGTCAGCAGGTTTCACAATCGTAATAACAAGTAATTCGAAGTGACTTTTGTACTATAATAAAATAGGACAGTATGTCTTCAAACATATCCTGATTTTAACACAGAACATATACATATTGAATGATTAAAAATCAAATAAAATACAAGACTGTTTCTCAATAGCATTTTATTATGTTGAACCATAATCAAATATTTATGTATAATAAATAAGAACTGACAAAAAATATATATATTGTATATATATATATATATATATTTTTTTTATTATAAACATAAATGGAATGTACAACTCAACTGTCATGTTATTATGTTCAAATGTTCTAATATTGTCACATTGTCTTAACCGACAGCAGTGCAATAAGACTTAATTTAGTGAGCTCTCTAAATTTCTGCAATTAATTTTGAACTATCAACAGATTTAGGCTGTCGCCTGATTACTGCTGTCGACTGTTAATTAATAGATTTTTAATTTAAATTTGGAACTTGATCCGTTTATACAAATATAAATTCATGTAACATGTGATATTTTTGTTATATATGTAGCATAAAGGGAATTAGAATATTTTATATTATATCCATTAGTTTTAAACTATATAAAGAAAATTTTAATTGTAATCTATTCCCAAAGAGAAATTTCAATGGAATAACTAAAACGCTTAACATATTTTGTATTGTATACATTAAGTATAACAATAAAATGTCTGAAAATATGTGAATGTTTCGTCTAACAAATACCCACAATCACTTCCAGCAGCATACAAGTTCTCATTGATTTTTGAACAGTTTTATCACAATACATAAAACATACAGTACCACAACTCGGCGCGTTCTTAATATATATACCTATAGCTGAACAGAGCGCTACGGTAGGTACCTACAAAAATATTTTTTATGTACCTTCTAGTTTTAGGATTAAGAATAAAACATTATATTAATTTAATGAAATAGTCTGGAGGTATGACGAGATTTGAGCACACTGCACAGCACATATCAGCTAACGCGTGGCGTAACACAATGACACAGTTGTTTGTTATGCCGTGCAGAGTACTTAGGGCCGCATAAACGACCCTTCAATATGTGCGTGCGCCGATTCGTCCATTTACGTGGAGTAGAGTTACTGTTCCTTTTATGTATTGTGGTTTTTATCGACAACATCACGATACATAAAACATCACCATTAATTTTATTTTTATCGTCTATGAATCAAAGCGAGCTTAATATATCAACAATAATTTGTACATCAACATCGGTATAATTCATCTACGTAGAAGCGAGCCAGCTAAAGCCGATGATAGGGGTACTAACCCCCAGAAAAAATAGACTTTAATCCGTTACGAAGGTTTTCAAGTCGACGAAATCTTCGACTGTCGAGACGAGTCAGTCACAATACTGAAGACAGACGAACTTGTCGCATACGCAACAATAGATAGCAAAACGAAAATAATGTAAGGTATTTTCAAAAATGGAAGTTGTGCGCATGTACGACGTTGTGACTTATAAACATGGTCCTACTGCATTAGGAAGTATGTATTTAAATTATCTTTATTTATAGAGTACGATTCGTAAAATATACTAAAAGCGAATTAAATTCATTTAACTTCACACGTGAAGAGAATATATAATTACGTTATAATATAGTATAACATTGTTTGCTTACAATAAAGAAAATTTTAAAACTATAATATATACATATCTACATGCTATCGACACTAAAACAATTATAATAAGCAACATCAACAATATTTACAAAATTCAAATTTAGACAAAAGCACCAATGTATGAAATAAAATACTATACATTTGAAATATTTAAGGCATTACAATAGATTTTTTTTTTTTTTCATTATTAGATAATTTTATTAGAAGCATTTATTATATATAAATATGCCAGCACGAATATTTAAATGTTCATTTAAAGGAAATTAATTAAAATATATAATGCTATCCTGCCTATAGGTATCTGCGTATAGTAAAATAAATTTTATTATTTAATTTTAATAAATCTATCAGAATAACATTTTAAAAACAAAATAGTATTAAATAATATCAAATATAATATATATATTAAATTCGACTAACAAGAAATAGTATCAAATAAGTATAACTGTCCTGTCAACACTATATGCAAATATACAAAACAGCAGTGCTATTCTTTTAAAAATACAGCGTCGAACACAGCGCTCTCATTGTATTACAGGTTAACCTTTATTACCATCTGAATAAAATCTATTTCATCTTTTGGAATATATTTAATTCAATTGAACCCCTTGGAGAGCGCTATCCGACGCTGTATGTTTATAGAATACCAATGCAGTTCCAAATGTAGATTGCCAATACATTCGCTGTTTTTTAAATTAATCAATATAATATTTATGTAGTTTTTTATAGATATAAGTAGTTATTTTTCTTAGGAACATTGACACACTTTTATTGTAATAATGCATTACAATTATTTAATTAATCTCCATTAAGAATTACAAATCAGAGATGACCATGTAATTGGACTTTACATAAGCCGATTATAATTTATTAATTATATGTCATGATTTTTTTAAATCTTAATTTTAATGCTTGTAAATGACAAAAAAAGATATTACAGGATTTAAGCTTCGTTAATTAATTCATATATTTCACATTACGATTACCAATGACTGATTAGACATTCAAAGCAGCTGCCATTACACTTTACAATTTTTTTTTTTTTTATCATTACCCTGACCAATCATGTTAATTTCATTAGTAACAGTAATACTATTAAAAGCAATGGTTTGATATGAAACAATAATAATTTCATTAATTTCCACATATATAATGATTTCACAACAACTAATAACCTCCAAGACGATAAATTCAATAAGGTTTCATTAATATAAGGTTCTTAAGATTGCCTTTTGCGGACATAAATTATATTGATTACATTACCGAGTAACAATCATTGGTTCCATATACGCTTTAGGGCGAGTGCACACATCGGAACTGCTATGATTTCACAAAAGCACTTTTATTTAAACTGGTTTTTTCTCACATTATAATTTTTCAACGTTTGGGTTTCAGATATCTTTTCAAAACACATTAATAATTTTATTACGTACGGAAATAATTTGTACGTACAGCGCTATATATAATAGGACACAGAAACTTAAATCGCTAGAAGTAGCTAAAATGTCGAAACGAATACGTTTTTTCTTTCCCCGATCAAAATTAAAATAAGAATCTTGATAATTTAAATGTGATGTAGAAGGTAGACAACCAGCGTTTCGACCAAGGTTTTGCTTGTTGCCAACCATAGACAGCTTGCTTGCAAATCGAAGGTCATGCCGCTGCTTGTTAATGACAAAAAAAGATATTACAGGATTTAAGCTTCGTTAATTAATTCATATATTTCACATTACGATTACCAATGACTGATTAGACATTCAAAGCAGCTGCCATTACACTATACAATTTTTTTTTTTTTTATCATTACCCTGACCAATCATGTTAATTTCATTAGTAACAGTAATACTATTAAAAGCAATGGTTTGATATGAAACAATAATAATTTCATTAATTTCCACATATATAATGATTTCACAACAACTAATAACCTCCAAGACGATAAATTCAATAAGGTTTCATTAATATAAGGTTCTTAAGATTGCCTTTTGCGGACATAAATTATATTGATTACATTACCGAGTAACAATCATTGGTTCCATATACGCTTTAGGGCGAGTGCACACATCGGAACTGCTATGATTTCACAAAAGCACTTTTATTTAAACTGGTTTTTTCTCACATTATAATTTTTCAACGTTTGGGTTTCAGATATCTTTTCAAAACACATTAATAATTTTATTACGTACGGAAATAATTTGTACGTACAGCGCTATATATAATAGGACACAGAAACTTAAATCGCTAGAAGTAGCTAAAATGTCGAAACGAATACGTTTTTTCTTTCCCCGATCAAAATTAAAATAAGAATCTTGATAATTTAAATGTGATGTAGAAGGTCGACAACCAGCGTTTCGACCAAGGTTTTGCTTGTTGCCAACCATAGACAGCTTGCTTGCAAATCGAAGGTCATGCCGCTGACCTTCGATGTCCATGGTGACGGAAACATGTTTCCCACCTCTGTTGCTATGTTTCTCACACCGAGTAACGATCTTTGATTGGTTGTTAGGATTACAACCAATCAAAGATCGTTACTCGGTGTGAGTACCGACCTTGTCGGAACGCTGGTTGGCGATCGTGTGGACAGCTTTTTAGCCGCGATATGTATGTTAGTGTCATTTATTGCTAAATAAATTAAAATGCAGTAGTAACTTTGTGTTGTCAAAACTAAATAAAAAGTACCTATTCACATGAGATAGTTATGAAATAATATTTCCACATGAGAATATATTAGGCAGCCATACTGCGTGGACCTGTTTAGCTAGCTTAACTAATATAAGTATAAATATAAACATGAACTCTCAATATATTAAAGCTATGTCTGATGCCATGGCAGCGACGCTAGCACTGTGGTTATCTAGCTAGATCTAAAAGATGCCAAAAACTAATCGTCAAAGATGCACGACGAGATTAGAATGAATTTTGCTAACACCATATTGTATGAATTTTAAAAATTGTGTGAAACTTATTTTTTAACTGTATAAAAAAATATATTTAATACTAATAACGATAACTTTAGCAACCCTTGACAAGCTCGGGGCAAATGCCCTCACTCGGCCAAAGATCGGGCCCTAATGTGACATCCCAATAAAATTATTTTTTTACATTGACGACGCTGCGAGCGCCGTTGCTATAACATTCTAATGAAATATAGCTCTGAAAATACAATAACAGTAAGTCGTGATAAAAAGTCTGGGGAAATACTAGTGATATCGGTCTTTAAACAGTAGATACCATTCTTAAGTCTTTGTGTGCTTGATTTACATTAATAAAATACGTCAGATATCCTGATTCTGCGGCGGTAGATGCACGGTCAAGGCATCAGGTGCAAGTACTCTGCGACGAACACTCTCATGATCTTGTTAAGATTCTCTATAGTTTTGAAGTCCAACGCTGTTATGTCGTCGCCTGCAGTGTGCCAGACAGCAGGGAACGGGGACGGAATTATATGAAGAATGTTCACGTCTAGGATTAAGAAAATTTTTAAATTAAGCAAGATGAATTCTTATGTGGGCGCCAGACATATTATCAAAGTTTGAGAACAAATTTACAAAACGTTTTAATATTTGTTTGTTTACTAGACTTGCTTTCAAATAATTTGTTGCAAAGGTAACTGACAGAACGGATGATGAAAAAGGCACGGTGAAACTATTTTTTATTAGATACTATGCGTCGTTTACAGCATTTTTGGGCCCCATTTGATGGTTCTGTTTGAAGAAGCCCCAAAAATTTAATAATAGCATTATTACTCCACTCCATTAGAATACAAAAAATACAACACGACATAGTTAAGTCGTGTGAGCAGTTGCTCACGGTGCTAAACATTACAACAAGTCTGGCAAGCCACTAAACTGTGAAGCACGGACAGAAACCGACTCATGACAGCTAGCGAACTACACATGTCTATTCAAACTTTGCACGAATAGCAAATCGGGCATTTGACTTCGTGTCTTTGTAAGTATTTGTATGTCTGGCGCGGGCTTTATAACTACCGAACTGTCTTTGTAGAAGCTAAGATGGCAAAATATTTCATATTGTGTTAAATCGTTACATTAATGACTCGGTACCTATCATATCTTATAATCTTTAGTACCAACTTTTCTGATAAGTTAATATAATTTTTGCTTGACGACACACGGGCCACGCGGGTCAAGATATTGGGACATCAGTTATGAACTGAATACAGCCTGGACCAACTGCTAAACATGGCTTCCGAAAGGTTAAAAATACTAAATATTTGATCATCCATCTCATTATAAGCCTTTGTAAAAGTTGCTTAACATTCACAATCACAAGTCGAACGGGCTAACCACTGCGCCATCCAGCTAATTACAAATAAGTAACTAAATAAAACTTACTTTTCCTCAAAAAAGGTATGTGGTCGTCCTCGATGATCGCCCCTGAACTCCTCAGTCTGAAGTACGTTTGTTCCACCTTCCCTTTAGAGTAGTTCTGCAGCTGATCCAGTTCAGCTAGCCGCTGTTCGGTGCTAGCCAACTGCACGTACCACTTCTCAGTAGCCTGGAAGTAACTGTAGAATATCGGGTCTGGAGCACCGAGGAGGTCTAGGAGCACGAGGATATCCTGCGAATTAATATGATCAATATTATATTCTATCAATTTTGCATTGCTATATTGGAAAATATTTTGAATAAAAATACTTAATAAATCCACCAGCCCTATGTATGTAGTCTGAGATGGGACCAGTACCCTCGACCAGTCAGTCATTCAGTCACCCGGATTACAAATGATCGTGGTTTCGAGTCCCATCAGAGTACTTGGGTTGATGGATATTTTTTTACGGATTTTTCATTAAAATATTTTTTAAATATGATCAATTTCTATTATTGAATCAAAACTTGATATAAGATACACTGTTATTGACAGTGATCAATATAAATTATGCAACTTATATTTAAATAATAAAAAATAAATTAAATGAGACCACACCAGAAGCACCAACTTTCAAATAAAAAAAAGAATCAATAGGATCTGTTCACTCTGTAAAGAGTGTTGAGGTAACAAACATAATGCATACTTAATGCAAATTTAAGACTTTTATGGTTTCATCATAGATACAAAACAATCACCCAGTAAAAAGTAACGATTACCTTATAAATTTTTACAAACAGAAAAAATTACATTTGAATTGAGAACCTCCTCATTTTGAAATCGGTTAAAAAATAATCGACTTGTATACGTTGATTTTACAACTATTTACGCCGAAAAAATAGCGTTGCGAGACTTGTGCATTTTTGTTGTTATGTTTCTGAGGGGATTTAATATTCATGTACTCGACTATGGATTTGGTAAAGATAAGATTAAAGATTAAAAAAAGTATTTAATTTTTCTAATTTAAAAAGTAGTTTGAATGAAACATTTTGTTTATCAAAACAAAATAATCCAATATTAACATGAGCGCCATCTCTTGATAGTCATAACAAATGAAAATGTCATGCTAATTACTCGTAGGAGGCGTGGGATAAACAGAAGCCCACACAAAGTGTCACGAAATAAGACACCCACCAGCCTTAAAGGTCAAACTATTAATGAGAATGTTCTTTGCTATTTAGGTGTATATATTTAGTACTAACTGCGTCCAGAAACAGTTTACCATTTCTATAAAGGGAAAAAGTAAGCGTTTGAAAGGGTTATGGTTTTTTAAAATAAAAACTTTATAAATTAATAAAATTCATTTCTTCTGCCAAAATCGAACTAAAAATAAAAGATACAAGTTGTAGTATGAATGACATTATATAATTAATTCCCTCGACTATAATATGAGTGTAAATCTTAAGCTTCATTTGATATAACAAATAATGTTTCCAATCCAAATGTAGTTTGTTAATGCGTCACGTATTTAGCAGTTAATTAGATAAAATGTATTATGAATCCAATAAGTACACAAATATCGCAAAGGTCATGAACTTAAAAAAAAACAACGCGACGTTTTTACAATTGCCGATAAGCTATTTACGAGCGTAAATATAAAAAACGATATGAGTATTATTGAACGTATAATAGTCATCGAATGGAAATTAAATTAAAACTATGAGCTTATGATTTCTTCTTATCTTTTTTCTGTAAGTAATAAGAAAGATAATATTTTAGTATAAAATTAAAATATAAAAGAATAATAATGTTACCGTTTCTAACAAATGCTTTATTATTTAGGGTGTCCTACTGAACCGATATATTTTCTTTTCCCGATAGTAGCGGCTCACCAAATAGCCTTTCTGAATCAATACCTACCTAGCATGCTTCATTAATTATTGATTTTAAGTTTAAAAAATCTTCTAGAGAGACCGCAATCACCTGCGTTTACAAAAATAAAAGAAAGTGAACAAGGAAATCGCCTTGTTTGCTCAAGGTCTGGGTCAGGCGGGGTGGACATTTTTCAATGCAATTTCATTGAAAGTCATATTACCTTGTATACAATTTATTAAGATTCTGGGTCAAGTAGATTATAAAAAAGGAGAAATTCGATTGTTTGTTTGCATCGAATAGACTCCGAAACTATGGACCGATATAAAAATGCTTTCACTTAAGGGAAGCTACATCATAGGCGGATGAAATAGTCAATAAGTTTCGGCAATTGCAGGCGAAGTCGCGGGAAGACAGCAAATATTTAAATAAAAAAATTTACGCACTGTAAAAACTATGAAAATATCGAAACAAAACATATTATCCACAGCTAAATTCATGATGGGCAACTATAAATATTGGATTTACTATTTAAAATTAGATTTCTTGAAAACGTCATCGGTAATCAATCGTATGTTATCATCACACATTTTAAGTCAATAAGTTTCGGCAATTACATGGAGAGAAATGGAAATCCCTCGCCATTTTCCTGTATCGTGGGTGTTATCGAACGCATTCTCAGAATCCAATATCAGTGTTGACCTGGACCGATTCAATATCCCTCTTCAATCACAATATATTACCTTTGGGAAATTCCGCGGGAACAAAACCTCGGTGTTTTGTATCACATAAAGACGAGAAGAAAAGGAAATGAAATCAAAATGGCAGCTTTGCTATTAATAGTATATAGCATAAAGTAAATTCTTTTTGTCCCTACAATTTTTTCAAATGATATTCGAGATGATGCATCAGAGGCACTGTTAGGTCCTACCTACGTTGCATCACAAATTTATCGAAAAATGCCTTTCTTCGGAGCCGTATTAGCATTTAATAAATAGTTAAGAAATTTCGTTTTCGTTGAAAAGATATTCAGGTGGCCTTCAGGTGTAGTATATTTATAATATTTATATTTGAACAAGAATTAAATATAAATCTTAGTTTTAAATTAAACCGTAGCAAAAATTGTACACTGATTAAAAGCGCCACCAGCATTATCAGATTTCCAATCAAAATCATTTTGAATGATTTCTTCACGTAATATTAGTTCCGCTTGGAAAATAGAAATTGTAACATGTGCACACTGAAATTAGATTATTAACACTGAAATGTAATATTTAATCGACTTCCTACGTACACTCGCATATTGACATAAGTTTGTTACAAATATTTGCTACTGTGGTATTTATGGCACTGCGGTTTTAATCAGCATGATTGCATACAACTATTTCAGAACTGGTAAAGGGGACATCCCGAAACGAGGAATTTCATAACCACTTGTGCAAAGTTACACCAATAAAAAAACCACAAGAACGGCAAAAAACTGACGTGCAAAATCAAGTAGCGTTTCCAGTGTATTCGATTCGTAGCTCAGCAGTAGGTGTTTGTACTTAAAATAAAAAATTAAAGAATTTGAATTACATTTATCAATACACCCTGTGAATACACCATATTTATAATAACAAGATCCATTATAGGATATTAAGAAGCTTAGAAGAGGTTGTTTTATTTTGAAATAAGCCTGAATTCTCTGGTTTCCATTCGTTTCCTGCAAAAATCAATGGTCCATTCGTTTCCTGCAAAAATCAACTTTTGCTAGAGCCGCCATCTAGTGGAGGTGCTTTTTTAGTGCTTTCTTTTTATAAATACTTCCTCATTGCGTGTACTAGTGTGTACCATGGAACCTACCACATACATTTTCTTTTATTAATATTTGAAGAGAGCAAAAGAAAAGGTTTCCCACTACTATAGATTTACTGACGAAACTGTAACTGAGCATAGTTTATTTGATTTTAAATAATAAATTTGAATATGAGCTATATTTCTTTTATTTCCTTTGATTTGTATCAATCTGATCACACGTACCGAGTCTTAGCTGGGCCAGGGATAGGGTTGCCAGATAGTAACTTATCAAATCCGGGACAATTCTACAAAAAAAATGTTAGCTCGTGGTTATAATAGAAAATATCTTAAATATATATTTTTTCGTATTTGTATTTAAAAGGAAAAATGCCATTTATTTTCAAATACATACTTTTATTAGATATAGGTATGTACTAAGTAGATAATTAACTCCAGTTATAATTCTGAGATGATACACTGTGGTAGTAAATCACACGTTAAACTAATTGAGCACTTCGTTTATTTTGTAAAAAAATAATAAGTTTCCAGAATCCGGGACAATAAGCGCTAATTACTGGACACGGGACAAGAGGCAAGATTCCGGGACAATCCCGGATTTCCCGGCGGTCTGGCAAGCCTAGCCAGGGAGCAGTGTGACAAGAACATTTATTAGATCACCAATACAAGCTACTATTTTACTAAGGCATAAAGTTTAATAATGAGCGTTAAACAGCCCTCGTTTACTTTGAATCACTTTGAATTGGACATTTGCAAGATATTATCGCAATAACAATTTAAAATGTAATAAATAACAATTGCGATCGCAACGTTTTTTGAAAGATATTGAATGGAAGTTATTGTTAGCAGCTTAAGCAGCTTAATCGGAACTGTTTTAGGTAACAGTGGGTGCAATGGATATAAGAGCTCGCTGGAGCGCTCGCTTAGCGAAGCCAAACGAGCTTCAATGAGAAAGTTTTCACAGGATTTTAAACCAATTTTATTCTAAGACTATGCTTATATTTGCCAAATAAAAATCATTTGATGAAAATGAAACATATGATCGATTACTTGCTTAAAATAGAAACAAAAATTTAATTAATTGGCTCGATAGAAAAAGTCGCAAAGATGACAGACTCTACATAGGTTTTTTGATCGATTTTAAAACCAGCTTTCATCTTAATTATATTATAATCTTAATCTTAAAAATATAAACAAAAAAAGGTTTTTCTATATACCTACTTTTGATCACATTTTTTTTATTACTGCATTTGTCTTTGATTAAAAATGTATGAAATCGAGCGAGTGTGTCTTTATTTGTACAAGAACATACAACCGGAGGCATAAGAGGGCTTTAAATCAATTTGTTTAACTCTAAAAATAGATGATGTTTTAATATGAATTACTTTTACCAATATAATCGAACTGATACTTATCGTGATATGACGAGCGAGGAGTGTGCACGATGCACTGATCGTTTACATGAAACTACACTATTTTCATAGCAATAACGATATTAACATGTCATAATCTAATTGCTGACTTTTATTCAAGGTTATTTATTTCAAGGTAAATCACCGTTCATATGTATTTGTAAACACAAATCACAAAACATTTTTGCACTAACAACCTTTCACTTCGGACCCTATCGCCTAAAAGCGCTTTCACTGTTGTTAAAGTTTATGACGTCATCTCGACATTTGAAAGAACTTCATAATGGAAGGATTTTTGCTTTCGCATATTCCCTATATACAAAAACATCAAGACAATTTTTAATGCTTCGAATGAAAAAGGATTATACATTTTTTAATACTAGGTAAGTATGCTAGATTTTTTTTTTAAATAATTAATAAATATGCGCGTCACATTGTAGTCGAGGTCTGACACGGAAGTTCTACAATAGAATTATAATATGTATTTTTCATAATGTATATGTATTACACATTTTATTTGGTGGACCTCTAATGATGTGACAGCGCAATGTTCAACGCTGAACTATTACAGAACACCTAAGAATAACCCGTAAACCGGTTTTTACTAAAACTTATAGCAAGCACCGGTTACTCTCACATAACAGCATAGTCCTAATATATGCAGATATTATAGGTAAAGTTTCTTTGTTTGTTTGTTTTTAGGGGGTAATCTTTTATTTGTTGGGATATACTGATCCGATCATGAAGATTATTTCACCTATGGGAGGCTACATCATACGCGGGTCACAGACTAATTTCCGCGGGTAAATTTGCGGGGAACAGTTATCTTACTTTAAGCACAGATGTAGGTATCCTATCACCATTCGTTTGATAAGATTAAAATGATATCATTCAATCCAATTCTTTGTGCAAATCTGTGTTGCTTCTCGAAATTACACTACGAATTATTATCATCACTAGAATAATAAAATATAACACAAATAAATATTTAACGACTCGCATTAGATAATCTATGAATATAATTATTAGGATAGGACATGGTACACGCAGCTGTATGTTACACAAATGCGGAAATTAAAAAAAAAAAAAAACAATATAACTAAGTACTTTGAAACATCTGTATTTATATATATTTTTCTAACACAGTAAAAGTAAATAGGGTTTATTTATTTAAAATCATCAACTGGCGGAATTACGAAAATTAATAAATCATCATCTATTTTTCGCTCTTCGTGTTTATTTTAAAAAAAATTACAAGAGACTTTTTAAAGCCAATTCTAGTGTTTTGTAAAGTGTGGTATAGATAGATAGGTATCCACAATTTTTATTTATTTAATTTATTTATTAAGATGTACAAAACAGATGAGAACCAGGTGAAAATACAAATGAAAAGTATGTTTTACAGTTATCAAGTGCGACCCTTCACATGTACATACAAACACAAATTAAACAAAAAATGCATCTATATACTTTAATATATTTTTGAATAACATCGCTAAGTCACTAAATATTATTAAAAAGAAAAAGTTACTGTATTTGGGCCATTCTAATGTCATCGATAGACAATGAATCGACAGAAACGTGTCGGACATAATCTCATACTCATAGTACTACGGTACCGCCTTTAAGTGATACATACTAATATTTAGTGTGTATGATCCAAGATTTTTTTAATATTTCCTCATTGCCTTCCGTAATCAATGTTGAGTTGAAATCAAATTGATATATTTGTTTACTTGATAATAAAATGAAAAAAAAAATACAAAGTAGATTATCCGTAATATGAGCCTTAAGAACTTACCATCCTCTGTAGATGATTGGCGCCTTCTTTGTACGGCGTGCGCTCCCATTTTCGCGCCAAATGCCTAGCCCCATAAATAGAGTCCGCGGGCCCCCACTGCCGGAAGGCTTCTTCACCATCAAAGAATATGAACATCACACTGAGCTTCGACTGCTTCACCTTGTTCAGCTGGGCAGCCATCACTTTAGCTAAGTTGATCAACATTGCGCACGGTACAGCTGAATCTGTTGCGCCTGAAAATTTGAAACCGAAATAGCAAAAATGTCATACAAAGTAGATTCTCTCTACCTCTTTTCTATGTTCGGTGCTCATTATACGCAGGCACGGTGGAAGTAAGTAGAAGGCCCTATTACGTGATTTTTTTTACTATGATTTTTGTATAAATGATCAATTTTGGCGTTCTTCATTTCGGGATCAAATATATATTACCAATTTTGACTTATTAAAAAGTGCAGAATAACTACTGGCATAGTTCGAAGCGACTATGCTTTTTGCAAATTACGCTTAACTTTTTAATTAGACGAAATTGCACCAATTTTCATAAAATGCGCGATGATGGCACTTTTTTGAGCTCCTGGCTTAAGCTACTGGATCCACAGACAAAGCAAACAAATCAAATATAAAAAAAAATATGTTATCGCTAGTACAATCGTATAGTTTGTAGCGATCTCAAAATTTTGAAATATGTTTGACTAAATATAGAAATAAAAAAATTATTAGATATTCGAAAATAACTTTAAGGTAACAGTAAATTTCTCCTTTTTAGGATAAAATTATTAAACAAATTTTTTACTTGAGTTATGATAATTTCATAATAAATAAAGATTTGATAATTATTGAGCATGCCGAGTAGATAGTTTGTATGTATGTAGGTATTTGTAATGATTTTGCGACACCTTTAATGGCAAAAGAAAAAGCATTTCCGGAAATATTAGTTTTTTTGAATAACAAAAGAAATACTCCTTTTCTAGGCAATTTCATCTATAGAGGTTAGATTGTTTTTTGCAGTGAATAAGCTCCGAAACCACTGGACTGATATGAAAAATTCTTTCACCTACAGCAAGTTACGTCATACGCGAATCACAAAGGCGGATGAAAAATGACAATAGTTTACGCGGGCGAAAGCGTGGAAAAACAGCTAGTAATACATGTTTTTAATGTTGCTAATATTTGCGACATTAAAAAAAAACGCCTCCGACGTGCTTATTTAAATTTTCACAGCCCTTTATACCGCGCGCCGAGGGCGGTAATTGGTAACTCACACTATCCCTTATTCCATATGCAATAGGTTTTCAGTTTCCAGCGAAGACGAGAAGTGAAAAATAAGTTTGTTTATCTTCTTCGAGTGTGTTCTAGTCATTAGATAACTTATAATTTAAAAACTGTCAATATTATGACTTAAACTTATTTTGTTAGTATAAATATGTATAATTTAAACATTAAATTTAATATGAAAATAATAACACTAAAAAGTATATGAAATAGAAAGTAAGACCTAACATTAGAACTTTATAAATTAATATAAACCTACAGTAAAGTAATAATAATAAAAAACCTATTATATAAGCCCAAATAAAAATGCTATGAAACATTCTTATGATTAAAATTAAAACTTAAAGTTCCTGATTTTTTAAGTATGGAGGCTGGGCATACTTAATTTGAACTTACAAATCATTAGCTATTTGAGTATTTACATTGACTTTCAATGAATCAAACCCAAACAAACCAAACTCGAGTATTAATTTTGAATGACAATCAATGGTTTGTTTAATTGTCATATGTAAATTTAAATCATATTTATATTTTGTTAAGATTTAAAGTTTTCTATTCTACCTAACCTTGGGTTAACTTAATGTTCAATTCGCTTTACAAAACAGTAGGTTGGGAAATATTTTATAACTAAAGTTAAATATATAATTATACTCACCCACAAAAACATGTTCCCTCGTATATTTGCTGTCATAGTGACAGGCTAGAACTAGATATCTATCAGCAGTAGGATTTAATTTCGCTATAATATTCTTGAAATTGAGTGTTCCAAACACGGGAGTCTGATCTGGAAATACATTTTCTGTGACATCCCACCCAAGGTCTCTCATCTGTTGCGTTATGAAATTACCCACTTTCTCATGGTTTGGTGTGCCCACCACTCTTGGTATAAGAATTTCATTAAGTACGGACTTAAAGTGATCTATGTCTGATAACTTTGCTATATCTTTGATATTATCATCTGTGAGCTGTTGTGGCTCATGAAATAACTATGAACAGGAAAAAAACATATTTTTAATAAGATGAAAATATTTAATGTTTTTAATATGATATTTTAAATAGTTCCAAAAGCATAAACAACATAAATATCATATGGGGAAAGATTTTTTTGTGTTACAGATAAACTTGAAAACAAGACTGAAATTAATATAACAATATTTCTGCTTTGTTATTACTAGTACCTATTTCTGTCAATTCAGGTAAATTGAAATAAAATGAATTAGCATTTAGAGGTTTCATTTAAAGTTTAGCTTAGCCATAATTTTTGAAATATATCAAGTACTGTTTAAGTTACAATACAATACCAATAAGACTATACAAACAACAATACCATTAAGACAAATGCCATCTTGAAATTAATGTAAGTAAAGCAGTTTGGAGAGTTTGTAGTCCCAAATTTTAGATTTAGACTATAAAAAGTTTAATGACACTGTGACAGCAGGTGTTTAAAGAAGTTGGTAGTTAAAATTTCAAAACTCGGCCTTAATACCTGGTTGATAAGAGGATATGTTACTGTAAACTATTTTGTAACACTTTCCATTACTTTTTGCTAACAAACGGCCTTCACTAAACATAAGTGACGGGAACTTACTTTTTCAGACTTAATTGACAATTCTTACCTTTTCTTGGTAAAACTTGATTGCACCATCACTGTTTACGAACGCAAAGCTCAGGGTGATAATTACTAGATACGTGATCATTTTAATCATATTTCTCACTTAACTCTGTTGTGGACGTGATTGAGCAGACGTTTTTATCATATATACACGCAGGACGCTCGGAAAACACGTCCTCTCGTCAGATAATACTACGTATTTTACTAGACCCCCGACAAAGTCCCCAAACCAACAACACCCGACACCCGTCACCCGTACGTCCATTCAGTTTTTGCAAGTCTGCAAGTCTATAGTGGTCCGTAATCCGTCTTCACTTCAGCTTTCCGCACCCCTCACTTCACAATTGCCCCCTCTCCCCCTCTCACTCTTGTAAAATTTGACAGTTCAAAATGGGGTTACCATTAGATAGACAAAAATGTACCCGGAATAAGATGAAATGTTGGGTTATTTCCCCGCAAATTGCTAATGCGCCAGGCCAATATAAATGACGTAATTGCGCATTTATTGCGTTGGATTGTGTTGAGATCACACATCATTTTTGTTATGTTTTCGTTAGTTTCGATTGTTATTGTTAAGTTTTGTTGTTAATTGTTATGGTTGACTAAAATAGCAACTGCTATTATGATTGTCACAATAAATAAACATAATTTCACTAATAATTAATATATCTAATGTCTGTCATATCATTATTACTTTTGATTATGTTTAAAAAATAACCTTTCCGATTGTTTTTAGTTATTACAAAGTTAATGCATTTTCTTACATTTTTTTGTTATTTTCCATATACCTCAAACATACAAATTGATAATAATCGATGTAGTAGAAAAAAATAATTAAGAAGTATTTGATTAAAAAGATGACATACCTTTAAAATAAAAACGTTGCTTAGTAACACGAAACATTTTTTAGATATTATTGTTACGCAAAATATAACAAAATAAACTTGTCATTTACTATTATATGAATAAGAAGCTATTAAAACTAAGTCGTAATTTTTTTATTTTTTACTTCAATACTCATTCATTTCCGCCAAGAAAGCACAAAAAAATATCCGCAAAAACGAAGAAAAACAATGGATAAAATACGATTCTTTTTCACAAATACACATAATATGAAAGAACTAGTTTTTGCCCGCGACTTTGTCCGCGTGGTAAAGTTACTATAAGCAGCATTTCTAACGAATATTTATTCATTATATCGTATAAAATACCTTTTTGTCCCTTCCTTCTGTTTGGGGAGGGTGATCCGGGATCCAACAAGGAGGTAAAATACCTGAAATAAAGTTTCATTCCCTATTTTATCCCCCTAGGGGTGGAATTTATCAAAATCTTTTCTTTTCTTTTTCTTTTCTTACCTATGTATGTATGCAAAATCTCAGCCCGATCGGTTTAAAATTGACATAATTTCATACAAAGTTTCATCCCCTATTTTATCCCCTTGGGGGTAGAATTGATTAAAATGTTTTCTTAGCGGATGCCTACGTCATAACATCTATCTGCATGCCAAACTTCAGCTCGATCCATGCAGTGGTTTGGGCTGTGCATTGATAGATCTCTATGTCAGTCAGTCACCTTTGAGTTATATATATTTTTCACATTTAAATCATTAACATTTTTGACAATATAAAAAAAAATAAAAGCTAGTTTCTGAAAATAAAAAAATTTAATTATCACAAATACAATTTAGACATTTTTGACATAAGTGTTGCCACTGCTATTCACTTTCAATTTTCCCAACTATATGGGAGCCTTTTATTTTACGTGGCTATAATTCATCTTCTTATGTATGTCTCAGCTTTAGTATCGGCGACTACGCAAATTGTGTTGATATTTTAGTCATACACACATACATAGATGCTAAAAAGTTCTTTAAAGTGTCGAGGTACGGAGTTCGTTAGTTTTAGAGATACAACTTTTTGAAAATATGTAAAATTGTACTTTTTTTGATATTTTATGAACTTTGTCAAACATTTGACAAAGTTCAAACAATATCTTAAATACTGACTTTACCGAAAAGCAAAAGGATTTATATGCATACAGTCTACTTTCGTGATTTTTTTTTTTTTAAACAGACAACAATGATAAATGACGAAGTTTTTTTTTCAAATTAAATAAGAAAAAAGGTTTTTAGTCTACTTTCGTATATCATATTTTTCGAGAAAACGAAACTTTCATATCTATAAAATAAGGTCTAAATGTTTATTATCTGGATGATATACTAGTAAAACATTCTTCTTCTTTTTTCTTCTAAACTATGCTTCTTTGCTCTTTGGTGTGTGGTGGGATGGGAGTGTTCCTACTCCCCCCTCCTATGGTGCACGTTGACCTAGTCGCCGATTCTAAAGTGCTTCACTTATATAAATTAATTTTGCTTTTTATTCTACTAATGAACATTATAAATTTAAGTTACTTTATATTGTTATCTCTTACAACTGCTGGTAAGGTTTTCAGATGAAGAATCTCTGTTGTAGATTACATTACTGATATGTGACTGTATGTAGACTACAAGATAATAAGTCCAATCCAATTCATATCATGAGTGTACAATTATTTTTTTCAGTATACTCTCATGATTGATATAATACTTATTAAGCCACATTTCACATCCATAATTGAAACTAGTTTAATTTCTAGTTCTTTCGATATAAATGATATATAGGCAAAACGATATAAGACAGCGAACGACTATTTTCTCGAATTTGAATATATATATATATTAAAGAAATTTTCATAGTTACAGTATTTTACTAATTGATTTTATACATAAATCTACATTACTTTTTCATTCTTTCATTCATCATAAGGGGTAAAATTTTTGATAGCTGGCATCAATTATCAATTTTTCCATACATTCTGTCGTTCGCACATATTCTGTCTTTGTTTGATATGAAGTTTAATCGTAGATACTAGGAAGACAAACATACCAAACCTATTTATATTATATGGTATAAACGTTATTTGCAAAGCTACGTCCTGATTTCAGAAAAGTGCTACACTTTTTGGTGCGTCTGTTGTATGCTTCTCTAGTTATTTAACTCATTGGTTATTATTTAAGTAACGTTCCAAAAAAGGATACTTTTTAATTAATCGTGGCCAAGTTAATCGCGTATTTTCTCATACGTTCAGTTCATTGACATTTCAGTTACAGCAAAGAAGTTAAGATATTTTTTTATGAAAAATGCTTAAAAATCTTCTTTGTCCCTGCCACTCTGGACTCGAACCCATGATCTTTCGCAATCCTGGCGACTGCTCTTACCACTGAGCTACACCGGTCAGTCAGTATGCCAGGACATCTCCTTTTATATATGTATATAAAATATAGATTATGAGTTTAGGCAGAAGCGTAGCTTATTTTATATTTTTTAATACTTACTTTCTTAACTGACTGACTGATTAATTTATTGGTCAGACCATAACGAGACTCCCTATTGCGCGGGGTCCGTAGCATTTGCTACTTTTGCTATGTCAATGTTTTGAGTTTCTATTGTTTTTCTGATATTTATCGAATACAGTCAAAGCGAATATAATTGTTTACAATTTTGGGGGTGTTTTTAATAATATACATACCCGGATGACCCGGATGAAAAACACGGTTTACCAAAAAATAACAAGCACGGATTTCTCATCCAGGTACTTGTAATATAATATGACTGAAAGAATACATTAATATAACCTTCTTTTTAGGTACTTACCTATTATTCATTAATTAACATTTCATAAAAAGTCCTTCGAATTGATAATTAATTGAAATCTAAACAAGTCCATTCATGACTACTTTCTTTTGCTGGCAATTTTTCTTTACGCAAACCTCTATTTATGCATAATAACTTACCCAAACATAATAATATTTAAACATTATATACTAAATCATATGGAAATACTTCGGGCCCATGAGTTTCTAATAAAAAGTAATTTTGAAAATACGTTAACTATTCGCCGGGAAATCGGTGAACATAGAATATCGATTGTGAAGTCAAAAAAAAAACATACGCAGCATTTACAACAATTTATTTTAAGAAAAACGAGATAAGTGGCCACAAGCAAAATAAATAATTAATAGAGCCTAGTTTTAGTAACAAAATTATTTTTTAAGTATTGACGCAGTTTTTCATCATAATGTATACTTCGCTTCAACTTATATTGAGTTACGTGAAGTTGTATCTCGCCACCGATTCTAATATGAATATTTTTTTTTGGGTAAATCCTACTAGAGAAGACCACTTCACCATTACCACAAAATACTTCTATGGAGCTGGCGTCTACGAAGATTCGCCATTTAAGTTGACCCTCGGGATTCCAGTCGGCCATCCTGATTCCGTCAACACCACCTCGATCTACACTGACACGACCTCGTTCTGATGAATAAGTGATAGAATACTGTTGTTCTCCGTTCCACTCCAAGAATATAGCCGCGTCGTAAAAACTACAACTTGCATTCACTATCAATTCGAACGCTTTCGCTCCAGCGTGAAATGCCTCTCCCGGACTGTACCATGCATTCTCTAATGTTTCAGTCCTCAGTAGTTCCATTTCTCTTACAGGTGTCATTAGAAGGCGACCCTCATCTGTAACCTTTAACTCCCTTACTATACTAAGTAAGCTAGCCCAGCCATCTTTTGCTTCTACAAAATCGCTTTCCCACATGCCGAGCCACGCTACGAGTAACCTCCTTCCATCCAAAGCAAGCATAGTTTGAGCAGCGTAAAAGTCATGGCCGAAATCGAGTTCGGTAAATGTAGACGACGATACTTCCAAATTTTCAAATCGCAAAGATTGATAATTGAAATTCCCAACCACGTATCCCGATTGACACAAATTCTTAAATCTATAGCTATCACCTTGCATCCCTTGTACAGAGAGGATCAATACATGTTGGTTGTCCAGCTCAAAGAAATCGGGACTTTCCCACGTATGCCCCATATCTCCATATGATTGTGCTAGGGTGCTGTTGAATTTCCAGTGAAACATATCATGTGACATATACAGGGAGAGTTGTCCTTGGTTACTCTCCGTGGTAGTACCAACCAGCATATACCAGCGGGCACGAAACTTCCAAACTTTGGGATTCCTGAACTCTAGTGCGCCGGGAGGTCCATGTTTGATAATAGGATTGTATAAATACTTCTGAAATATAATGCCATCATTGCTTATCGCTATATTTTGAGTATGAATTGTTTTATTGTTGGTAATAACGTGACCAGTGTAGAACAATGTTAGGTGATTATCATGTACAAGAGCGGAGCCCGAGAGGCATCCTTGTTTGTCATAGTGATCTTTAGGTAACAAGACGGGCGGGTAATGAACCCAATCGACGAAATTGTAGCTTATCGCCTGGCCCCACTGCATGGAACCCCAAGCCCCATTATAAGGGTGGTACTGATAAAACACATGGTAACGACGTTTAAAATATGTGAATCCACTAGGACTGTTCAACCAACCAACCGGAGACGAGACGTGATATAATGGTCGAAATTTCTTCTTCATTATATATCTCTTTTCTTTAATAAAATTCTCGACATGGTCCAGATCTTGCACGACTTCTGCCGAAGCAACTAAAATGAACGTAAACACAAGGAACAGCTCCATTACACCACACCACAAGCTTGTTCTGTGAGCCCGACTGATTGATACTAACTGTACTAAACTTAACGCAGGACTCCACAAAGATTTTTCGTAAATAAGATTTCACATAATAGACAAAACAATTAGTAATTGTAGTGAGTAAAAGATGTATTATAAACAAGATAGCAGAGTCGTAATAAAATGACCGCATATATTTTGTCATCCACTATTGTTATCTTATTATTGTTAGATTTCGGGTAGTAAAGTGATGTAATCAAGAATCATTGAAGTGCAGTTAGATATACCTGATGTGTTTGACCGATGTACCTGTGCAAAACACTGAATTTTGAAGCGCTGATTAGAATGATTCAACTATCAGGCCATCAAGCAATCGACCAATTCCACGTGCCTGAACCCCGCCGAGTGTGAGTTACCTCATGGTTATTGAAACAAGACTTACTATAAAGACTATGGAACAAAACGTAACTACTTCGTAGTAGCATATTGTGACTGTACCATTCGTAACATTATAAAATACAAACTGATTTTGAATGACAACAACTCTGTGACTCTTGGAAGAAAAAAGAAAAAAACCCTAAGTGAATTCACTTCTAACGCCAAACATTACTCGCGCTTCAGACACTGGCATAAAATCAGTGTCAAGAGTTCGTAGTTTTACTGTCGGATTACCACCACTGGTGAGCGGTCTCCCCTCATAAATCTCAATACTTCCTAGCGATCCTGACCTTTATTGGCACTCAGTACCTATGTAAGTATTCTTTTCATAATTAATCTACATACTTATAATCTCTATTTACTTATGAAATTGGGAAACTACATTGGCTGCCTTTCTCTAGTAGAGAAGACTGTCGACAGTTCCACTCATACATTACGCTTCAACCTTACGTTTAAAAGTTGTTTCATTTATGGATAGTGATAATTATATCAAAGATCTGCGATCTTCTCTTACCTTACCTTTTCTTGTTAGGTATACCATCCCACTCCAAAAACTTCGTAGCCAAATAAGTTAGTAATAAGTTCGTACAGCTTTTAAATTATAGAATCTTTCACGTCAAACAAAATAACTTTACTCAAGCTTAAACTGGCGCACGTAGGGTTCCGTACCGGAAACGAGGCAAATTCACGTTTGTTGTATCGGAGCCCCCTTAAATATATATTATTTGTTCCGTTCGATATCCGGAATCCATCTTGAGTCAAGCATCATCCTTTTTGTGACGTTTCCGGTCCAAAACACTACCTCCCTTCTTACTTCCGGCGCCTGTGCTGCCATCTAGTTTGCGGGTAGCGAACCAATGACTTTTAGGCACGAACGCTTACCGTCATTATAGCGTCGTTTTTCGTGGCGAAAACATCGGTCCTACATAAAATGTGCACAAATTATACTTATTATTATATAGTTTAGTGTTAAAATTAAAATGAAATGAATATAAAATTAACCTCCCTTCGCGATGGAGTAACGGGATAGCGAAATAAACAAAGAAAACAGCATTGAAGCAGGCGTGTTTATTGTCTTCGAGCTCATCGAACAGTGTCGTTGGATTCCAGCTCGGAGAGAGCAAGTAAGGTATAGAGGCGAGAAAAACTGTAAGTGATTTGCATTCGATTTGTTACCCCAACCAGTGACATTTTTTGATAATGCATGAAAACTAAATCCACCTGTGCATTTTTTCCATAACAAAATAGCACAAAGTATCCATACCAGGACCGCAATTATGGCAACCACAGCCACCATCACGTTCCCTACGACCCCACGGTCCTGAACAGTTCCTACTTGCAGCGGTTAAGACTGGTGATAATTTTCTTTATGTACCTACTATAGTAAAACAATCAACACAAGTTCAAATAGGATTTTTTTTTTTTTTTTTTTCTTAATAACGTTAAAGACCCAGTCTATGGTGAAACCAAATTAGATGAAACATGCTCAAATTAAATTATAAGTTGAGGCGATTTGTTTCTGCTACAACAATTTGATGATTTAAGATAAGATCTTTATTTGCGAGAATAGAAGTCATAATAGTTATATTTTATAGAAATGGTACAATCTACAGCATTAACAAATACCTTAACAGAATTAAAGTATGAGTCAATTAGTTTAGAACTAGTTTACAACAAATTGTAGATTGATCTATTGCTAAAGAGCTTTTTGATAAAATCTAATCAACATTCAACAAGGATTATATTTTCCAAATATTAAGTGGCAGACGCACTGATGTGTTCAGAGCCGTGGCGAAGTTTTCTGAGGTGCCTTTACAGAAATTTTTGCCAAATTCAGAGTTCAAAGTCAAAGTCAAAATAATATTTATTCAAATAGACTTCTCTTTTGAATCGTCCAACATTTTTCCCCACCACTCGTTCAGGACGTCTTTTGGCTGATAGGAAGAACGAACAAGTTTTTCTTTGATAATAGTATATTGCACCCAAAAAACAAGAGGGTGCATAAAATGGTTGCAACTGCAAGTTGATTCAAGGTAGATTACCAGAAGTACACACCAATATTTAAATGGTAATGAGACTAGTTCATTAAACTTTAGAAATAAATACAATGCATGACATGACACAATGGAGGGGGCTATCTAATGCGATCTGTAAGTTTATGGAACAATCAGGATGTTCCAGATTGCATATGTCGAATCTTGAGCGAGTGGCTCACCAGTTCCAAGGTGTCACCATTTCTAAGCTCCCGCATTCCACTCTCGGTCATGTTAATGCAGATAATGAGCTTTTCTATATTATCTCTGGTCTGGGTGTTGTTACCTTCGTTGTTTCAGATTACCATAATACAAGTGTTTAACTATATCATTTGGTATCTAAACTATGTAGGTATGTGATGGTATAAAAATTATATTTTTATGCGTGGGATTTTAAGCCATCTTCAAATATCGTTTGCAATGCTCAAATTAATATACTGGAGATTACAAAAAACACCCTGTTTTGTATCATTTCCTCTTCTAATGTTAAAGCCCGACAATTTCATTTAAAATGACACTGATTTGTCAAAATAAAACCTTTTCGACTGATCAATAATTTTCGTATTCCGAACATTCTCATACAAAACGAATGGTTTACGAAAATATATCCGAGCCAAAAGTATTTTCATTTGAGTATCGCCGAACAACATCTGGTTCACAGGTTCTTGAGACTGGCATACAACAACCTACCTAATGCAATTGACGTGTCTCTTTGGACTGCCATCGGTACTCAAAAACTTTGCTGCCTAGACCAACACAACAACTGCGCTACCACAATAGCAACGCTTAGGGTGGTCACTCAACTTCGAGCAGTGTGTGCTGGTTCTGAGCTTCCTCGGCGTTGCCTGGTGCATCGTGACCAACACGGTCGCGAGGTGCCGGGAAGTGCCGGGGAAGTCAGGGGTAAGTCCCTGTCGGAACCGAAGTGCCTTACGCTACGCATGGCACTTCAGCACGAGGCGACTACACGTGGCGGTTAGTCCCTCAGACAGGCCCAGTTCCTAATGGGGAGACTCGACTTTGCCTCGTTTGTGATTCGAAGAGGGTGATTACACTGTCGCACACAGCAATACTACCATCGACAGTTGCCCAAAGATCACCATTACCACCGAATCAAACTACCAGACTCAGTACAGAACATTCAGCGAAGTCACTGTTTCAATCGAACGCTTCACGCTACGCATGGCATTTCAGCATCAGATTGTACAAGGCGGTTAGTCCCTCAGACAGGCCTAGTTCCTAATGAGGAGACTCGACTTTGCCTCGTTTGTGATTCGAAGATGGTGACTACACTATCGCACACTGCAATACTACCATCGACAGTTGCCCAAAGATCACCATTACCACCGAATCAAACTACCAGAATCAGTACTGAACATTGAGTGAAGTCCCTGTTTGAACCGAACGCTTCACGCTACGCATGGCGCTTCAGCATCAGATTGTACAAAGCGGTTAGTCCCTCAGACAGGCCCAGTTCCTAATGGTGAGACTCGACTTTGCCTCGTTTGTGATTCGAACAGG